CTGCAGGAGCCTTCTTTTGTTTTTGAAGGGTTTGAAGTATTAAAGGATGAGGGCTGAGGACTTAAAAATAACAGTTTTAATGAACGTCATTCTTAGATGACTCCAATCTTGTTTATGGAAATTCCAACGTGGTTTTTCGATGTACGTCCTTTTCGGATATGAAAGGGGAATGCTCGAATTAATTTCATTTTTTGTACGTAATTCGTCAAGAATTTCTTGATTAAATTCAAAGTGACGTTAAGTTGGTCAACACGATACATATTAAAATAAAGTCACCGACCTAATTGTTTTTATTTTATGAAATTTTTTATTGATTGCTACTGTGCGAGACCATAATCGAGAGATAATCGCAATAGTACTCTCATTTTTATGTTGATCCATAAAAAAATAATATAAATATAAAAATGAATTAATTATTAATGAAAACGCAACATTATTAAGTTCCCACAATCTCAATGACATGACGATATGGTCATTGTCGTGTATCGTGCAATGCACATTTTCCCATTTCCTGATAAACTTCATATTCTGTTTAATTTCAATTTTCATATTATGATTTTAAGAATTTATTTATTTGGTCAGAGAGAGAACATCAGAACAAGCTTATCGACCAAATCATAAATATTTATTCAATCAGACTTATGTATGTGCGTAAATATAGACGAGTAGCGATGAGTGACCAAAAGTGGACAAGACTTTACCCCATTCATCGTCATTTTCATTCGAAAATTCTATTTTTATAATGAACATAACATCATGTTTGTTTTATGAGCTGTTAGGGCTTCTAATCGATTAATACTGACATTGTTTCTACAGAACAATTGCGAAAGGGAAATACTTAAAGAATGATTAATGATGATAAAGTAAGACCTTTAGTGAAATGCCATGAAAATACAGAACAATGCAATATTTTGTCAATATTAAGTTGGCGTGGGATTGTGGACTGTAAATAGTGAGAGTTTAGGGTTTTAGGCAGTGCTGTTGAACTAGCAAAGTAAATTTTGGTGCTAGAAATACTTAAAAGACACCAAATTAGTGGAAATATAGTGTTAAAAAGAATTTGTCTGCAAATATATATATACATGTGGGTGTTATGGCAGGATACAATAACTAGATTTGGGTAGTAAAGTTAATAATCTCTTTAAATACAATTGTTAAATACATATTACATAGTTTTATACTACAATATTGTTATGGAATCAATAATAAAAAAAAAAGTTGAAAAATTTCGTTTTTAAACCATCACAAATATCCAGACAATCCCTTAGGTATGCCATATTAAACTATCCTCGAGAATCTAGACTTTGCTGAAGCCTCCGATCTAATATTTGCGACTGTGACAGACAATCATCATCGCAATCTTGCTTCATACTGGTTTGAGACACAGCAGACACTAACTTTAAACGCTAATAATGTCATTCGAATGTTCACAATCCAAAGCTACTCGAAACTTTTAATTCAAGCTCAAAATTAGACAATTAAGGATCACACATGACACTTCAGAACCTCTAAAAACAATACACAAATAAAATAACATAAAACAATAAATACGAAAAAGGGAGTAGAACGTAATTATCATTAATTAGACAGTCATGTGTTGTTTATGCACTCACGTGATTCATTCATAATTAAAAGAGACAAACAAACAAAAAAGTAAAGGTGGTCAATTGCATTCTGCATGAATGTTCCACTTTCTCTAATTATCATTATCATTCTGATGTTTATTTTGTGGATTATTTTCATTATTGTAGATGTAAATGTTTGATAAATTCAACTTTCATATTCGCTGCCTTACATTTTCATTTTCATTCAAAAGAGAGAGAGCAGCACGTTCCTTTATTATTCAAAAACAGACCTGATTATAGCAAAAAAGAAGAAATATATTCTCTTCCATTTCTTTTCATTCATTCTCTTCTTTTTTTATTCACTGAATATATAAAACCAATATATGTGTTATAGAATCAGGTCGACTATTTGTGTGGGGTGAAAATCCTTGTGGTCAGTTAGCTATTGGAACATGTGAGAACGTTGTAACGAAGCCATCGTGTGTGAAGAACATCAAAAAATTGGGACAAACCGTTAAGGATTTTCAATATGGATCAAATTTTTCCGTGCTGTTAACAGGTGATTTATGAGAGCTTAAAAATAAAAGCTATAATAGATAAGAGCTTCCCACTGTGCCTTATAACATTTTATATTTCTGTCTTTCCCTTTCTCTTTCAAAACAGAATCCAGCAAAGTATTTTATGCCGGCAAAGATATTTTTCCATTCAATGCTAAGATTAATAGCTTGACTGGAGTCTTTCAACACGAAATTACTGCGACTCCTGTCGAACTCAAAGAATACGATCGATTCAATGATAAATTTGATATGATACGAGCAGGTGATGAACATTTTGCTCTGCTAAATGAGACACGAGATAAATTATATGGTTGGGGTTTTAACTCGCACTATCAACTTGGAGATATTGATTCAGCAAATATTTTAATGTACCCAGATGTTTTCTTCCAAGCTGACCTTGATGAGACCATTAAATTATTGGAATGTGGAAAGCTGTCAACGTGTCTTGTGACTGGTATGTCAACACTGATGTTGATTAATAAATTGTGTTGTATTTTTATGATTAAGTCATCAATTTATCGTGGCTTTGGAAGTTTTTACAGCACTATTGAGCTCATTTGAATTTTGTTTAGTCTGTCCATATCCCTAATAAGTATTATTTCGACAGTAATCCTCAAAAATCATCAAATTAATGAAAAAGCTATTGAATATAAATGATTAAGCTTGTGATGTAGCCAGAAATATTTCCAGAAGAGCTATAATCTCTTAAGAGTCTGAAATTCCTCACAATCTATTCAAAACCATTAAAAGCGCTTCCTTCGCTCACAATTGAACATATCCATGCTAGTTTAAAATCATTCTTAACATTTTATCTACAACAATCATGTTCTTAACTTTCCCTTTCTTTATTTACGCGATTTAGAGTTTAATGATCTATATTTAGTTGGAAGATTCAAAAACATGTCAATATCAACGTTTACAAAAATTCGTGAGCCTGTACAAAACTCAATAATTGTCCAAATAGCAATATCAGATGCAGATGACATATTCTTATTAACAGATAGTGGAAATGTGTTTCAATCTACGAATATGACATCAATATTAGACATGAGATTTGAGGAGGTAGACTTTCCAGGAAATGAGGAGAAAATCATAAAAGTAGCACCTGGTCTTGCATTCACATCAATCATGACGGAAAGTGGTCGATGCTTTTCACTACTTGACGAGGATAGAACAAATTTGATTGAGTCGGGAAAATTGAAGGAGCTTAATGTTATCGATATTAATGCAGGCGCACAGCATGTGTTGGTATCGACATTATTGAGAGATGAAGATTATAACGGAAATGGAGATTCAAGGCTCAATCAGACATACACAATCAATTTTAATAAAATAACAGAAATGGGAAGTGGTGCTGATAATGATCAAGAACCTGTCATAACCGAAAAGATGAAATCAGCAAAAGTCATTGAAAGTCTTTCAAGTGAGAAAAGTGATGATGAAAAAAATGATAACATCTCATTGATTGATATAGAAGAGTCAATACGTGGAAATAATGGATCGCGAGCAACGACACTTGAATGTAAAGACACAGATTCCTCAAACTCGTCATCGACACACAATAAGCATTCAACAACCGACCGACCTGATTCAGTAATTCGTTATATTGACAACGGCATTGAGAAGCGCTCAGCGTCAGGTAAGATCAGTCTAAAATAGCTTTATAAGACACAAGTTTTTAATTAAAATTTTATAAAATTACAGCAAATCGAATGCGAAACGGGTCAGCAAAGATGAACGTGAATGACACCTCTGAGGATAATGAGGATGATGAGGATGAAGACAGAATGAAAATGCCACGAAAGAAAACTCCAATGCCGCGAGCAAGAAAGCAAAAGGATGTTACAGACGACGATTTGGATGAAAATGGCATAATTGATCGTGACGAAGATTTATATGATGATAATGATGATGTTTCAACTTCAACATTAAGGGGAAGTGACGAGAGCTTACAAGACTATATTAATGAGGAGAACAAAGTTAATTCAATGAATAAATCCAATGGAAACATCATAAATGAAAAGTTTAAAAAAGTTAAGAAATTTATGATTGATATAAAAGATAAAGGCAAGGGATTATCGTGTAAGAACTCCGATACAGTCATAGATGAATATCCGCAAGATACAGTGACAAATGTCAATGATAATCATAAGAAATCATGTGCAATTATGTAAATTAAGGACACAAAAATTATGTTTGTTGATATTTATAGATTAACTCACCTTTATGATTTTACAAGCGAACAAATAAAGTTGTTAAATAATTTCTCAGCTGATTAACTATGTCGTTTTTCTTTAATTTCCTTAATTATTGTAGATTTGTTTGTAAATGTTTTCACGTTATATCGAAATTTGTAAACAAACGTTTTTTCTCTGCTTTCTCGATTAATTATCAACTGTTCTTTAATTTACACTACTTCTTAGTCACTTATATTATAGTTTAATTAACATTTTATGCTTAAAAGTCCTTTATTTCACTGTAAAATCTTTAAATAAATCTTTTCCCGGTTTTTTGTTGTTTTTATTCCACGAGTTTAGGTTGATTATCCCCTGATTCAAATTTTTTTCTACCGTTACGCTTTTGAAATTGTTATAGGCTAGAGGCGTATAGAAGCAACAGATTTGATTTCCGTTTTGTCTCTTAGTGTAAAATCACATACTGTGATATCGATTAAGTCTGTCTTTAGTCTATAAAAATGAGATTTTTGTTTTCGCATAGAATCATCCCTTTATTTTTTCAAATTTCGGCCGTTATTTTCGGTTATGATTCACCCACGTGTTGATAAACATTTCATTAAAGCTGAAAAGGTTGTAATATATGAATTAAAACGTTCATTTACCTCTAAATACCCTCTATTTTAATCAACTTTTATTATTTCGATCGATATAATTTATTTAACTACCATAAATTCTTTAATATCACAATAAACGAGCATGCAAAAAGCAATTAAATTAAGTTTCTAAGCAACTTGGATAAAATACATGCACTAATGAGTCCCAACCGCAATCAGCAAGTTGATTTCTCTTTAATCTACTCCAATCTAATCCATATCCAAAATCTGTGTGATGTTTTATTGACTCGAGTGGCTCATTTGTTCTATTAAAGTCCCATATCCTGCAAATTTAATAAATTATAATTTAATAACAAAAATGCCAATAATTGAGAGCAGCTTACCTTGTATAGCAATCATATCCAACGGAAGCTATCGTACTAAGTTCAAAAGGTGAAAATTGAATTTTCCTAACTGCAAAATCACATCCTTTCAACTCAAACATGGGCACCCCAAAATGTCTCATATCATAGCCCCTAATCAATCCATCACTAGAACCTGTAGCTAAAATATTTTGATCAAATTTACACCAATCACATGACAAAACCTCACCATCGTGAGACTTTAAACTAGCAATTGGCTTGTCTTTATTAAAAACATTCCAAATTTTTAAATAACCATCAGCAGACACTGACGCAAATGTGTTTGGTATGAGAGGTGAGAACACAGCATTGTAAACGATTTTTGAGTGTCCATTGTAGGTACAGAGCGATGTTGTGAAATTTGGATCCCATAACTTAATACTTAAATCCCAACTGGAACTAAGAATATAATTGTCACTTCTTACACTCAACCAATCGATGCTATATACTTCCTTCTTATGCTCCTTATAAATCATTTGAGGTAAATTTGATAACGGCGAGTCATCATTAATTGATTCCATATTCCACAACTGCAATGTTCCATCACCAGACACTGAAATCACAATATTTGGATCTTTCTCCGATGAGATAAGATCAAAGAGTCCGTCACTCCAATGAAATTGTTTAACTTCTTTGAAATTATCGTCATCGTCTGAAAAGTCTAAAACATACAATGTTCCTGCACCTGCCAAACCAAAATATTGTGATGACGCAACAAAAAGTCGGTCAGCTGAAAATCGAGAAAATCTCACGCCATAGCCATGACGATTTGTTGTAAAGTATGTCGGCATAGTTCTGAAAGTAAAAGGAAAGAAAAAATGGAAAATTGTTAAAATTAAAATATATTTTTAAGGCTTCTTTAGGTCTTTTTAAAAATACACGTGCTCGTTGAACTTGAAGGAAGTGATATATGAATGACGGTTGAATTCAGGATTTTAATTACTTCCGAAATTATTGGTAGTCATAATACCACAGAATTATGATTTAGGGATCTCCCTTATCCCTGAGCCCCTGATCCCTGCAATTCTTTGATTCTAAAAGCACATTAAGTATCAAATTGTTATACATTCACATTCCCGAATGGCAAAATCGGTTAATCGATCAGAAATCCAGCACCAAGTATGACTCTGGCATCGTACTGGACCTAAATCGAAGCAAGCATCATTTCAGAGTCATACCGGCTGGGTGCTGATTTATTTTCGAATAACCGACTTGTGTTGTTCGGGATTAAACTGGCTAATCTTCTAAATTCTTCAGTAATTAAACAACACCTTTAAAGAAACATTTACCGCTTATATTACGTGCGTCAATAATCATACAAAACTCCTGCGTTATGCTTTCTCATTTCATAATTCAAATAGGCTCCTTATTATTATGTAGATGATTTTATAAGCACTTACATGAACTGATCTTTCAACTAGCACAACCGTGTTCTAAATAGCATTAAAATATTTTCGACAACATTCTTACGACGTAGATAGTAATTGGACTAATAGTGGACTGATTCTGATCGATAAAATTGAAGCCATTTGAATGCAAAATAATGGCAAGTATAAAAGGTAGAACGTTCTAGGACGGAGTCATTATTACATTTCTGGTTGTCTTACAAACAGAACTTACTGAAACTTACAAAGCTCTCTCAAAATTTCTTAAATCGAGGAATTTTGAAACGATAAATGAAAGTATTTTTCATCTTAACGAATAATTAAGTAAAAAAAAAGTAAATTTTTGTGTGTGATTTTATTTCTCATTTCTGTGAATTTGTAAAAAAATCAAAACTTATTAAAAATGGTTGTCGCAGTAAAAGTTTTCAAGAAAACAACACCAAATGGCAAATTAACTGTCTATTTGGGCAAGCGCGATTTCATTGACCATGGGTAACATATTCCGTATTAATGCTTAAGTCTCAACAGAAACTAATTAGTGCTCATTCTCTAGCGAATTTTGCGATCCAATCGACGGTGTTGTCGTCCTCGATGAGGAATATATGCGTGGTAGAAAAGTCTTCGGTCAATTGGTAACAATCTACCGTTATGGACGAGAAGAGGATGAAGTTATGGGATTGAAATTCAGCAAGGAATTGATCATTGGAAAGGAGCAAGTCTTTCCAATGGTTAATGCCAAGATGGAAATGACACCAATGCAAGAGCGTCTGATTAAGAAGCTTGGAACAAATGCTTTTCCACTTACATTCCAATTCCCACAATCGTCGCCAACGTCTGTCACACTTCAGCCAGGCGAGGAAGATCAAGGCAAACCATTGGGAGTTGAATATTATGTGAGAGTATTTGTTGGAGACAATGAAGATGATAAGGCTCATAAACGTAGCAGTGTAAGCCTTACTATTAAGAAATTGCAATTTGCTCCACCAACAAGAGGACGTCGCTTGCCTTCATCATTGGTCAGCAAGGGTTTCACATTCTCTCAGGGTAAAATTAACTTGGAAGTGACATTAGATCGTGAAATCTATTATCATGGCGAGAAGATTACTGCCAATCTTGTCGTTACCAATAATTCTCGTAAGACTGTTAAGAGCATTAAAGTATTTGTCGTTCAGCATTGTGAAGTGACAATGGTTAATGCTCAATTTAGCAAGCATGTTGCTAGCATGGAAACTCGTGAGGGTTGTCCAATCACACCTGGTGCTAGCTTTACAAAGAGCTTCTTCCTTGTTCCATTGGCTAGTTCCAATAAGGATCGTCGAGGTAAGTCACACAGTTAACACGAAAATAATTCTTATAAGATAAAGTCAAACACTATTCTAATAGGAATCGCACTCGATGGACATTTAAGAGACGATGACGTCAATCTTGCATCATCAACTCTTGGTGCTGAAGGCAAAACATCATCCGAATCTATGGGTATCGTAATCTCATACTCAGTTCGTGTCAAACTCAATTGTGGAACATTGGGTGGTGAACTCCAGACTGACGTTCCATTCAAATTGTTGAACCCAGCACCCGGTAAGTTAATTAAGTCACTCATATGAATATCCAATTATAATTTAAATCCAAATCCAATTAATAGGAACTGTCGAACGTGAGCGCGTAAATGCCATGAAGAAAATGAAATCAATTGAAAAGCATCGTTATGAAAACAGTCACTATGACGATGAAGATGACTCAAATATTGTTTTTGAAGACTTTGCCAGAATGAGAATGAATGAACCAGAATAAACATGCCAAAGCGTTTATTAAGCATGAAACTTTTGTGAGGAAGACGTGAAAAAAAATTTCTGGGCGAAACTTTTTTCCTCGCAAATTTTTCCAAAACTTTTAATTTATAAGCTGTCGAATCACATGATTTCCTTGACACTTTGAAAACTTTATAGCTGCGCAGTGTCACCTTCAAAGTATCAATCAAATCCGTAAATCGTTAAGCAAATAATTTCTATTTTTATATTTTACTTGATTTCTATTTTGTTATTGTTTTCTTCTTCCTTTTGTGTTAAAAACGAAGCACCAGAAGTGATATATTACTTTTAAAAAGCAACCAGAAAAACGAAACATAAACAACTCGTAGAATAGAAAGTGAAAAAAAAATCATAAAATTATCGTGAAGCTTTTAAACATTTTCACTAGCATATTAAGCCGTGTCTGTGTTTCCAAGACAGCTCACAGAATGAGAATTTTTCTGCAAAGCACTTTTTTTGGCTTTGATCAAAAATTCTTGTTCCTCAAAAAAAAAATTATAAAAATTGTTATTTTAAAAAAAATCAAAAAACTCCCTCAAGAAAATCAATTAAAGATTATGTAAAATTCTAATTCTTAATTTTAGTAAAATAAAAATAATTTTCCTTCAATTTATACCCCATTTGGATGTTAGAAAAGGATGTAAATTGAAAGAGAATATTTGAAGTATAAACTTATGTTTTTTTGCTTAATTCTTCGTTGAAGATTGTTTTGATATCGCTGAGAAACATTTGATAATTTTAAGCTGATGTGAGAATTAAAAATTGTCGATGATCTTCCTGAATCTGAGTAGAAACTGAAGAAAAATTTAAGAATGTGAATGATAGAATTTTTTGTTCAAAACTGACAAGATTTCGTTTATATTAACCTCAACAAGTCAAAATAAGATCTAGTGGAAACCGGATTCCAGTGAAGGTGCCTTAAAAATTTGTTAATAGAAACTCTAGAGCATAGACCAAAAATAAGTAACATCTTCGTAAAAATATCGTTCGATTTTCAACAGAAGACAATTGATATAATCAATTATACCAAATCGTTGTTTATCAAAATGATTAAGAATCGAGAATTGCTTATAAAATCATAGTAAAACAAATAACTTCATGTTTAATATTCTTGATTAGAGCGATTCCTGGATAGCACAAGTCAGATAATCGAAACCAAATCCTATGCTAAGAAGAAGCGAACAACTTGAGGGCAATTTTCTGTTCAACACGAAAAATTAGCCCCGAAGTCGATTTGTGCTACTTGGGATTCATAATTGAATTATTCAGATTTTTAAAAATACAAAAATCACAATTTTTGCTGAGTACAATATTCTTCAAAGAGCTATTTTTAATTTTTTGGATCCACATCAGCAATTAAAATTGATTTCCCAATTCACTATGAAAGATTTAAAAAACTTTGTTCAGCACTTAATTTCTAAAAGACAAATTCGATTTCACAATAATTAACAATAGCTACTCACTTTTTTTGCTTTTAAACTTTTTCACTATTTTTATTGCTGGCAATTTTTTTTTCAATTCCCAAAAAATAATTTTTTAAAAAAAATTCAATTTTTTAAAAAATAAATTCTTAAAATAATTTAAATTCTTTTTTTAAAAAATCTACAAAATTTCAAAAATTCCAATTTTTAAATGCCTTCAGCAACTTCTATATCGTTTAGTAGTCAAGAAAAGACTGAGAGTTTAAAGCGCCCAGACATCAAAAGATCGTTGAAGTCATCACAAAGAAAAAACAAGTTTTACAGCTTGGACATTTAAATTTTAAAAGGATTTCTTTATTGTTCCTTTAAAAAGTTCTTCACATCTGCTGCAATTTTTTTGTCAACGGTTTTTTATAAACGAATTTTCAAGAAAACTGTCATGTCCACTAAAGGCCAGAAAAGGAAGATAGAAGAAGTCTTTAACTCCTCCTTGGAAAGTCTTAAAGAAGTTTTTTGTCATGCTGTTAAAAATTTAAATAAAAGGTTTAATCACCCCTTTCCTATTTCTTATTGGTTGAATCTTAAAGCTTCTTGAGGTTCTCTTGTGTGTAGACATGAAATAAGGAAGGGGAAGTTCCTTAAAGATGCGAAGCAAATAAAAAAGGTTCTTCGGTCAATGAAATTCCTGAGTGACTCGTTAGTCGCAATTTATCAGTTGAATTGGAAATATTATCATTTTGCAGCTTTTAACGGACAATAGTCTAGTGCCTTAAAATAAATCGTTATTTAACGCTTTTATCTTGAATATTTATTTCCAACGAAATGTCGAACACCCCATTTTACATTTCCTTTCTTATCAGTCCGTACAGAAGTGTGAATAGGTCCAGTTGTCTTATGAGTTTTTCCAGCAACTTTTAAATATTCCTTCTCAGGCTTTCCAATTCTAAATTGTGACAAATAGCTCGGTGGATTCTTGTCCTTCAAGTTGTGTAAAACCGTTTCATCAGGTGCTGCAAAAAAAATAATTAAAACTTTGTCATTTAAAATATTTTGATCACGTTCCATGTCTTACAGTAATAGTACTTCTTAGACGTAGCAAAAAATACTTGACAAGCCACAATTATTAAAAGAATTTGAAGAATTTTCGACATTTCTTCGGTTGTTGCTCGCTCAGCTTACAAAATATTTATGGCTTGAAAATTTCTCAACAATCATATTTTTATATCAGTAAATGCTCGGTGACTTACTTAATAGAAAAAAAATAACGATTTTAATAAACAATTGGGAATGTCAAAGCATCAAAGAGAAATAAATATTTCATAGCTGTTCCACTTTATCGACCAGAAATGCAGAAGACTTTATGCTCCATTGATAATTTAGCATGGAAAAAAAATTCACGCGCCAGGCAGAGTTAATTAGTCTTGACCAGACCTCATAATTCATTCCATTGCAAATTAAGTTGGAGATAAGAAGTTGGAGTAGCGGTTAGCTGCATAATGAATATTAAACCCTATCCATGATTCCGTAATTTAGACAATAGAGAAATGTTTGTTGAACGCAATGAGACAGAAACTGATAATGGCTTATGCTTGTTGCTCTAAAAATGAAAAATCTTTTCTTTTCACACTTTAAAATCGGTAAGTTACAGTGATATTGTTGATGGTGGTTTTTTTGGAGCTTTATAAAAACTATTGTCAAAATATTGAAATCATTCAGTCGAGTTTTAGCCATTCAACAATCAATTCGGGTAGCAAATGAGTCAGCAATAAGAATTAAAAATGAATATTATAGGATTCAAGTTCCTTCTTTTAGTTTTAGTGACAATATGTTATAATCTAGACAAAATATGTGCTCAGAATGCAACTAAAATGTTAACTCCAATAATAGCTACAAATGTTCTTGGTCCAAAGCAATTTGAACGAATTGTGGTGCCTTATTATCCACCAATTATTAGAAAAGAAATTCCAGTGACAGAAAAAGTTGTGGATATAGAAAATACAACACAAGAGGTGAAAACAAACAGTATTAAGGCACCAAATTATAATGGTGGAAAGAAAAGTGATACAAAATCTTATAGTTATGTGACAAGATCTGATGGATTCTCTAAGAAACCTCCACCAAAAAAATATTCACCAGTAAGTCAGCCAAAGCAACCTCCAAAAGTAATTGAACCAAAATCAAAAGATTCAAAACCAAACCCGAAAGATTTACCAGCTGAACATAGAACATTACCAGAACCTAATGAAATCCAGCCTTTGCATATTAATACAAGAGGTTTCAAAAAGTCCCAGCCTGACCATAAAAATCAAGCGCCAGAAGAGAAGAAAAAGAAGTTTCAAGAACAAGAACAGAATTTAAAGATTGAAAATTTACCAGGAAATCCTGAAGAAGTTCCAAAAACTGACTGGTTTGATAATCATGGAAAGTATAACTACGGAATTGTCCATGACTCACCTCTAGTCGAAGAAAAAACGAGTGTTGAAGACACAACAGAAAATGAATCTAAAGAAGTACCAAAAGGTGTTGCTCCAAATCCACAGAAAATTCAACATCCACAGCCATTCCAACCTCCCATTACTGTCCAACATCCACAACCAGTTGCAACAATCTACCATCCACCAGCAACGCCAACACCAACAAACAATAATCACCATCCATTAACATTCAAAAGCAACTCTAATGTCCCAAGTTCACACAGTAAAGTTCATCAGCAGAACGGTAATAATGGAAATTTTCTTTATAAATCCGAAGTCTACTATCCCAACTATCGCGATCACATTTACCTCCCGTTCACAACTTATTATGGCGATGCAAATATTTTTCCAAAGCATTTACCAGTCTTTAATTCACACACAGTTTATCACACTCCACAAGCTGTGCCACAGCATAATACAATAAATCAAAACAGCAACAAAGCTCACGATTTACCAATAAAAGTTTCCCTGCCAATCCCCAAAGCGCCAACATCATCATCTACACCGAAGACAGTATATCCAGTCGTTCATAAAACTGAGCCACCAGCACATAAACATCCGGCATCACCGAAAAAAGCTGTAGAAGAAAAAAAGACAGCTCCAACAGCACCAAAAAATAATCAAGATGAAGAGGAAGAATATGACGAGAGTGAGGAAATCGAAGATGATGGTGGAAAGGCTGAATATTATGATTATGAGGAAGGAGACTCTGTTGAGGATGATGAAAGAAGCAACGATAAAATTCAAGGAGAATCCTCTGAAGATTATGAGGAAGAAAATGATGACGAGGAAGAAGAAAAGCCAACATACAGGTATACAAGCTATAATAATGCACGAGATGATGAAAAGTCAAGCGAAGATGAATTTGATAGAGCATGGGAAAAGTATGGCTATAGCCCAAAGGAAACATCCGAAGAAAATGAATCAAGTGAATCAAGACTCGTGCCACAGGAAATTGAGCCAGGAAGGAAGAAAATTGTGCATATGAAGATGGAATATCATACAGTACCACATGATGGCAATCATGTTTATGATATTGAACCAAAAATAAGAAGAAGTATAGATGTTAGCAATAAGTCATCACGTGAGATGAACTCTAAAATGTCAGGTACAATTAATAATAGTGAAATGAATAAGGACAAAAAGAGGAAAAGGAAGAACAAGAAAAGTAGTGCAAAAAGTCAACAGCAGCATCCGAACGCAGGCCCGGATGATTTAAAATTTTTCCAGTAAGTTTAACTCGTCCTATAAACTTATCATATTTCATAAAAAAATCTCATCTTCATCTTCATAATTTATTCTCATACTTAATCATGTACATTAATAATGCACAAAAGGGATCTGTTCATTGAAAAGAAATCACCGCATGAAATAGAATTTGGGCATGTAAGTGAGACACCAAAAGGATGGGAAGAGAGATATGAAAGACAGAATCATAGCCATGATAAAAATAGACATCAAGGAAAAGTATGCTTTATCGATTCTATTTTCTGCATTATTTGCTAGAGAAATTTATTTATTTTTTTTTTTCAAAATTGGTTATTTAAGATGTGGTTTTAGTTGAGACATTGAGAATCATTTTTTTGGTTTTTTGGATTTAAATTTTAGATATTTTGGCACTTAAACTTACTAAAAATTTAAACACACAGTTTCATTTTGATTTAACTAAATCTATAGGTTCTTAATTCAAGTTAACCAATTGTTATCTTAGTTTGATCAATTTTGAACTTGATTGATTATTTTTGATCAGTTCTGTACATTTGGTTCCGCCTGAAGATGATAATATTTGACTAAAATAATTCATTAAACCAGAACAAACCATAATTGAACCAAGTCTAACCGGGTCTAATCTTAAAGAGACATTTTAACACTCCGTACTCTCATCCATCATCCCCTCCATCCTATTTTAACTTAATATTCAAGATCATTACAAAACTCACAACACCTCATCCATTCCCATCCCAAAACCTACATTTCCTCTCCTACTAATCAAATTTATTCAATTCAATCTACAAATCTCTTTCCCCAAACCAGATACTTAAACTATTTGGGTAATGGTGAGCACAGAGCTGGTGGACGAGTGGGTAACGATAAACATTACATTGAACAGCATGAACGTGGAAGTAAGGTTACGGGAACATTTCAGAAAAAAGTAAAAGTTTAAATACACAAATTTTTTATAAATCACGATTGAAAGAATTGAAAGAAATTCTTCTTCATTTCCCTAGCTTGTTTTTTTTCGCACTTGTAATCGATTTTTTTGTCTTCTCTTTTCTTTAAACTCTCAATTTTTGTAGGTCAAATGGGCAGACAAAGACGGTAAGCTTGAGTGAAAAATATATATATGTTGTATAAAAAAACTTATTATGCAATTTTTTTTTAATAACATAATCGATTTCAATTCGTTTGCGGTTCCTATATACAATTGTTATTGATTTTTGACAGTTTGATTTTTTGATTGGCTCTTATTGAACAATTTTTTGTGCGAATTTCTTTTTTGGAAGTTCATTTGTGGTGTCTATCTTTTTTAATTGGGATAAAAAGGGGAGAGGGGATCAGCTTATTCTGAAGACCACCTTTGGTCTTCACTCGAATAGCACAAGTCGATTAATCGATTAGAAATCTGATACCAAGCTGGCGTGACTCTTGCGTAGCTCTGGATTCGATTTAAGATCAGTACCATGCACGAATCACGCCAGCTTGGTGCTGGATTTCTATTCGATTTATCGGTTTGTACTATTCAGGGAAGTAGTCAAAAATTTAAGTTCACAATAAACATCACTCGCGAAAGATCCCAACATTGATCTGATACCAAGCTGGCGTGACTCTCGTGTAACTCTAGATTCGATTTAAGATCAGTACCATGCACGACTCACGCCAGCTTGGTGCTGGATTTCTATTCGATTTATCGGTTTGTACTTTTCAGGGAAGTAGTCAAAAATTTAAGTTCACAATAAACATCACTCGCGAAAGATCCCAACATTGACAGTCATAACTAATAACAATTTTTTTTGAACTTTTCAGGGGGGTTCGGTGAACATTTCTGGGATTTGAATCATGGAAGATGATTGATGGCTTTGCTATTATTGTAGTTAAATTGTTATAATACCTCAGAGCATATAATAGATTAAGAAATTTGTATGACAAATTAGAATGCTTTATTTGATTTGTATTGATATTAAATTTAAGAAATTATTAATAAAAAATTTAATCCTTTCCAAAACTCAATCAAACTTCCGATTCTTCTTACAATTTGTAAAATATATTAGATTTGCTTAAAAATGAATACGCAAGGCGATTGCTGGTCTGTTGTACTATTCTCAATGCTCTACAATACGATTCTTATATATTTAATGAAACCTTTGACATCCAGATAGACAGGCATCCTCCACTTTACAATCTAGCAATAAGTTTGCGACATCAAAAACCTTCACGACTGCAATAATAAATTCATTACAATCGTTCTCACGCTAAGTCTACTAGCCAGTCCACAACACAATAAGAAACTCTCAAATCCTTTTTCATTCATTTATTTACTTTAATGACTTATCCTTTTTCCTATTCTTTTCATCTTTTTCACCGTCTCCTATAAGCAACAATTCACATTCAAATGACCCTTCATTTTATTCAATTTTAAATCATGTCAAAAAATATTTCTTCTTTATTTAAAGGAAGAGAAAAATAATTTTTTAAAAAGAAACCAGTTTTTAATGATGACCCAAAAAATCATCCTTTAGGACAAATGTACAGTTACTGCATTAAGTCTATGGAAATAAATTAAAGAAGAAAGGGTTGTGTAATATTTTATAAACGGTTTGTATGGATATGTGAAGTCATTTGACTAGATGATATGAAGGAATTCTTAGGAGAAATTTAGTGCTTTAGAATGGACATCTGCTGAAGTTTTATCCGTTTGATGACCTTTGAGGATAGTTCTGTGTTTTGATTATGAAACTGTACTTTAGATTTTATGTTGAACATTGAAATGTTCATGTTCTCAAGGTACAGGAATGTTCTCAAGATACAGGAATGATCTTAAGGTACATGAATGTTTTCAACGTTTACAGGAATGTTCTTAAGGTACAGGAATGTTCTTAAGGTACAGAAATGTCTAAGATACTGGTACTTTTAAACGCAGTCTTTTGGATGTACATTTGAAGAACTTTGAAGGTTTTGTTCAATAAAAAATTTAAATTCTTTTGCTGGTTTGTATAAGAAGTAATGCTCCTGATATGGAGATCCTCTTAATCTGTCTTTTCCATTTTAAAATTATATCCAGTCCTAAACTTCATAGGATCAAAAAATCGAGAACCTTCCATCTGAAGCATTATATAAAAGTTGACTGTAACTAGAGTAAAACCTCGGGTAACCCTAGGAATCAGTCAAAGTAATTAAAAATAGTATGCAAATTCCCAAAATCATCAAGATAACAATCACCATTCTAATCTTAAATAAATGTCACTCTAAACCTTTATAAAATAATCCCAAAGACTCATCTTTCATCTTCTTGTTCTCATGATCATTAAAAAACGCAAAATCACCGTTGTATGCGGAAGGACAATCAAAAATTAATTTGACGGAATTTTCTCATGAAATTCTTCTATAACCCTTTCATACATCTCTTCCTAGTTCACAAATACAGCAAGACTATCTCAACAATTATCATATCATGTCATTACATTATAACAAAGAATACAATACACTTTTCTGTTGTCCATAACCGGTTTTTTATGCTTGCACATATGTCAAGGGTCAGAGCTTCAAAGATTCCGTAAATGATAAAATTTTCCTTTTTACAAATAGCCAAGTCCCTTGACGGCTAGCTTATATCAACCCTTATGTTATTTTCTCATGAGAAAAAAAAGTCCCGTATTGGACTGCATAAATCAAACATGTACAGCTTTTGCCCTTCCGGGTTGCTTTTTTAAAAAAATTATCTTTGATGATACAATAGGAAGAAGGAAAATCGGAAACTGGTCAAACGGGTTTTGAGAGTGACCGAAAAAATCCACATTATTTAAATAATATTCATGCTGGTAGCCGAAGATCATGATTTAGCAGGTAGATAGGAAGGCATTCTAACCCTTCTTATCCCATTGTTGCATTAGGTGCAGTGATTGTCATTTGATGCATAAATAGTTTCATCTATCTTCCTTTTTTTATATTCAATGCTGTAAAGGGGGTATTGAGTCGGAAGGTTCCTTGATTATGATCAACCCTTCCTCTTGTAATTTCTTTTATTATCTTAAGAAACTTTTTTTTTTCATGCGCATCAAAGGCAAAAATGTGAAGGGTTGGAAATGTGAATAGAAAAAAAAGTTGTCTATTATTCATATGAATCTTTATACTTCATTTTTTATCACGTAAAGGTCAGTTCTGTTCTACAATGACATTAATTTTATTGCAGTCTCAAATTAATGGTACACAAAGTATGATTTATGTAATTCTATGATGAAACTTAAGATGTTTCTCATTGCAATAATCACGCAGTGCTGTTTCTAAGGTCAAATTTCTGTTTCGTGTGAACAGTTCACTCTGTGGAAATATTTTTAATTTTGTGAAACAAACTAGAGGTGTAGCCAAAATATTATTTGGAGAGTCTAAAACATTTTTCAATTGAAAGATTCTTAGTTGAATCGTATTGCTTCACACAAACATTGTTCATCTTTGTTCTATGATTACTCTAGCCTGTAGAACAAAGCCTCTCAGAACCCTGGCCAAGAGTTTGCAATCCTCGTTCTAGATACTGAACCTTATGAGACCTCCCCATAAAATTGGCTACCCTTAAATCAAACCGTGCATTTAAAAAAATATTTATTGTTCATTATCATCAAACTCATTGTCGTCTGTAGCTACAAGATCAGTCTCAATGTCATCAGTTTTTGAAAGAACTTCATCTTTTTCCTTCTCATCTTCATCTTCCTCAGCTGATTGAGCCTCCATACTTTGACGTAGATCGATTGACAAAGTCTTTGAACTTTCTTGTCTTTTGATTTGATGGACCTCCTCTTCTTCTACTTCTTCTTCTTCTTCTTCCTCGACAATATTTACAGGTTGATGTTGTTTTACCACAATTGGCTTGTCATCTTCAGATGGAACAAACGATTCATTGCTTTCGGATGTGACTGAAAGTGATCCACTGAGAGGATCAATTATGTTTACTGACAACAAGTCAGATGGCTTGTTCTCAGCAAAACCAGCGTTACTCATTCGTGGACTAAGAAAACGAGATGACACGACTGAGACTTTAGAACATTCTTGTGTGACTGTGATGGAACCAAATTTAGGAAGAAATCCAAGATCTCCTTGACCATAAAAGTTTTGAACTGAGGATGTGCGTCTAGTTTCATGTCTAATGTCTGCATTGTTAAGAATATTCAGCAAGTCAGTAAGGAGATTGTTGCGACGAGCTTCATGGAATGCCGGATCATACTCAAAATCTTTCTCACCTTTAATTGCCAATTTAACAGTTATTCTTAACATCTCAATAATCTCAGATATGCGTTCAAATTCCTTTTTATTAAACACCGACTCATGCTTAAAGTTATCTCGTTCAGTCTCAATACCAGTAATTTCTCGATGAAGCATGTCAATTTTATCTTTGAGATCTTGCATTTCACTTCTGTTGTCTTTTGTCATACGACGAACGACTTCATGACTTCTTTTTATTTCAAGCAAATAATTGTTCAAGTCACGTGAATTTTCAAACTCGACCGACAATTTATTAATCAATCCCATTTGCTGGTCGCAAGTCTTAATAAGTCTCTTTTTCTCAGTCACACTTGCCTCATATTGTGCAACAATCTCTTTATGCTTCTTCTTCATTTCTTCATTTTCCTTCTGCAAACGAGCTTGTAGATTTAAGATTCTATCCATGTCATTATTCAAAGCAATATTTTCACGTAAAAGTCTTTGAGTTGATGCCGCAACTCTCAAGTCACTCGTTTTCGTGAATTCAGTGGAAAGTTCAAGTAATTTATTCTCAACATCTTTTCTCATTCTCTCTTTGTCGAGAATGACCTTCCTTTCCATTTCATAGAGAATTTCTTTATGCTTCTTCGCTTGGTCTTTCAGCTCGAATTCTTGCGTATCAAATTTGGCAATTAAGTCGTCACGCTGTAGACGAAACTCTTCCATTGAATTCAGTTTACCGGTTAGCAATTTGATTTCCGATGTTAAGTTATCATGCATCATTTTATATCTGCAAAGTAATTTGTGGTATTTAGCTGGGTAATTTATCGATTAAGTAATAAAACATTTATGTGTGATGAAATTAGAGGAAATTTTGTTTTGCCATCGACATTAAAATTGTAAATCAAAGAAGGGAACGACAACTTGGGGGCAATTAAGAGTAAAGGCTTGTTAGATTAATTGATCTGGAATCGAAACAACTCGATTGATTCTTGTGCCAGAATTTACTTTAAGAACCGTTAAGAGCGTACCAACAACCCCTACTCGACATGACAAACTTCTGATATGGGTTCGATTTCTAGGACTTCATTAGAGTTAATAAAAGATGTATTTCATTTTGGCATTTGCAAGGGTCAGACACTCCAAAAGTATTGTAATGTATTGTACAATATTTTACAATACATATGAAAGTATTGTAAGTATTATACTTACAATACATATGAAAGTATTGTAAGTATTGTACAATACCTACAATACTTACAATACTTGTATGACAAGTATTGTAGGATTGTATAATACTTACAATTCTTACAATACTTGTATGGAAAGTATTGTAGGAATTAAAGTTTGTACAAGACAGTTTGAGAAACATTTGTCGTATGAATTTGATTATAATTGATGGTTTTTATGTAGTTTCTCGTGTTTCTTTACATTTTTTGAACCAAAATTTGATGAAAATACATAATTAGCAATTTTGAACTAAATATTTTTAAGTTTTAATTGAAATTTTATAGTTCTCCAAAAATGTTCAGTCTAAAACATATACAAATATTATAAAAATATTTTTATACAAAATTTTTGGCAGAGGTCGAAGTTGGTGAAGTGAAGTCGTTTCACTTCACTTCACTTCACTAAAATTTCAATCGGTTTCAAGTCAGCTCGAGTGAACTCATTTTTTTCGTGTTCACTCGAGTCGACTTTTAACCGAGTTGATTTTTTCATGTTCACTTTAGTTGACTTTTAACCGAGTTGATATTTTCGTGTTCACTTTAGTCGACTTGAAACCGACTTGATTTTTTCGTGTTCACTCGAGTCAACTTTTAACCGAGTTGATTTTTTCGTGTTCACTTTAGTCGACTTGAAACCGACTTGAGTTCACTAAGGAAAAAAAAAATGTAATATACCAAACTGATTTCTGCTAGTACTTGTGAAGTATATGTGATTACATACAAAATTGCAGAATTTGTCCTTTTTTACTTTTCATAACCATATAGCAAACTAAACGAATTATAATAAACTGGAAGTTTGAAAAATATTTCAAATTAATTCGTTTAGTTTGCTATATGGTTATGAAAAGTAAAAAAGGACAAATTCTGCAATTTTGTATGTAATCACATATACTTCACAAGTACTAGCAGAAATCAGTTTGGTATATTACATTTTTTTTTCCTTAGTGAACTCAAGTCGGTTTCAAGTCGACTAAAGTGAACACGAAAAAATCAACTCGGTTAAAAGTTGACTCGAGTGAACACGAAAAAATCAAGTCGGTTTCAAGTCGACTAAAGTGAACACGAAAATATCAACTCGGTTAAAAGTCAACTAAAGTGAATATGAAAAAATCAACTCGGTTAAAAGTCGACTCGAGTGAACACGAAAAAAATGAGTTCACTAGAGCTGACTTGAAACCGATTGAAATTTTAGTGAAGTGAAGTGAGTTTGCTTCATCGACTTCGACCTCTGATTTTTGGTAATAAAGTCATTTTTCAAAATTGTCAAAAGCAAAAAAGTATTCTGGCTCGAAACAAAGGCGATATAACGCCAGATGCAGCCAAAAATATCAAACATTATTAACGAAAATAAAATAAGATGAGAATATTAGACATTAGTCTCCTCATATTAGAGGAACTTTAACGTTTGCTTCAGTTTTATACAGGTAGCACCGAGGTTTCGTTTTTTTTATAGCGCTTTAAGCCATATCATAACATTGCTATGCCTCGATTTAAGTTTGTTTCTTTAAAGTTTACTTTGCTTTTAGTAAGGACATTTTTCAACAAAAATTTTCAGTGAATTTTCCTGATATGATATATCTTTTTGTATTAACTAGGCATTCACGATTTCCCGGACCCAAAAAATTATCGGGAACTGGACAAAAATTCAAACTCAAATATCAAACATGCTGCTGGAAATTTGGAAGATTTTTTTGTATTCAAATGCTGAAACTTTTCAATTGAGATAATTTGACATTAAAATTTTTTGGATAATTATTGTTATTCATCGAGTTTCTGTCCCAAAAATTTCAGGAACAGGAAATCGTGAAAGTCTAGTATCAACTATAAGAACTAAAAAAATAAGAATAATTTTAGCAAAGAAAGAAGAATATATACAGTTTTATATTGTCTTAGAGATGCAGTTGTTGAAAATATGTATTTTCAAAAAAAAAATGCTATAAAAACCATTTGATAAGTTTGTTAAATTTGATTCCTTCTTAATCGCCTTCTTGTCAGAGGTAAAGAAATTCAAATCGTCAAAGTAATGTCTGAATACACTTAAAACCTTGTACTTTGATCAAAAAATTTGTATAAAACGTAATGCAGTTTGCTATAAAGAGTGATAAATCTTGTGAAAATGAAACCAATCTATTTAATTTTGATTCCTTATTGACATTTAATAATAGTTTAAATAATAAACTTCGTACCTATACAGTTTTATGCATGAGAATTGTATGAAATCAATTCTTGATTTACATCAGTCTAGCTTTACAAAAGAATTTTGAACTTTTTACCATTTTTATAGCCATTACATAATCAGAAATTCTCTTTTTAAATGGAAAACTGAAATTTGTGCTAGTTTTTCATAAAATATCTCTGCTAATTTTCAATAATAATGTTAATTTATCAAAAAAAAATGTTATTTATCAATATTTGTCAAAAAAAGTATTAAATTAGGTTTTACAAATTGTTGAAAACTCAAAAAAAATTTAATTTCTTTTAAAATTTGGTTCTTGAATAATTAAATTTCAGTATTGTAAGTATTGTAAGTATTGTAAAGTATTGTAAATTTATATGAAAAGTATTGTAAGTATTGTAGGTATTTTACAATACTGCAATACTTGTATGGAAAGTATTGTAAGTATTGCAAGTATTATACAATACCGTACAATACTTTGGAGTGTCTGACCCTTGGGCATTTGAACAAAAATTAATTGTAAAAGGTGTAGTATTCTGTTAAGGCATAGAAACCAAAATCTCGTGATATAATACAAATCAAATGAGGTTCAAGAACAGATTCATTCTAACCAACAAACCCGACAAGATCAAAATTAAATCAAGTTTAAAAATTGAGAAGTTCACTATTAAAACAAAATTTCATCGACTTCGAGCTCTGCTATAAAGCAATATCAGACCTTAAACCCTAGTTTCTATAGAAACAGCATAACAACGAATTTGCATAAAATCACATAACTTACTTATTTTCCCACTCAATCATCTTCTTCTTGAAATTTTCATTCTCTTCATGCCGAACCTTAGACAATTCAGTCAATTTATCCTCCAGTTCTTGGATCATGTTGACTTTCTCCTTCAAAGTCCGATTCAAGTACCTGAAATTTAATAAATTAATGCAGACAACTCACATAAGCAGGTCAAGTCAACGAGAGAAATAAAAATCTTACGAAACTACATCTTGACTATTTGTCTCAATTTGCTTCATTCGCAGTTCCATTTCTTCATTTTTCTCCTCAATTTTGACATTATGAGCTCGAAGACGTGTCAATTTCTTGTTGATATCAGCAATTGTCAATTCATAAAATTGCTTGTCAACAGCTGTCAAATCACTATCTTCTGGATCTTCTTCTTCAGACTTTTTTGTCTTCTTGCCTTTTTTCTCTTTGGGAGGCATGATCACAATTTATTGAGCAATAAAAGTATTAATTTTGTTAAGCGAAATCAATTGAAATGAAAATTTTAATAAAACTTTTTATCGTATCGAGGAGAAAGAAAATATAAAAAAATGGTGCTGCTATGACGCTTTTTATTATATCAATAAAATTTCTCAATGCACACGCATGTATTTACCAAGCCCACTGCTTATTAACTCTCTTGCATTATGACTTAATTTCCTTAATGTTTCCATTGACACTCAATTTTTTATTCAAGAATCTGATAAACATTTTATTAATGTCTTTTAAGATAAATCAAAAAATTTACATTGCATAATTCTCCTTTATGATGACTATAAAATATTGGTTACAATTAAATATAATTCCGAAAACCCAAAAGAAATTGGTTTTGCTTTTCTTTACATAATTTATAAAACCAATTGATTTATTTATTTAACTTAATAAACCGAGACAGCATTAAACTTCAAAATCATAGGCAAAAATAATTTTTATGAGTCAACTCCCGAGCTTTATGGGTTGATTCGACCAGAATAGCACAAATCGGTTAATTGAATAGAAATCTAGCATCAAACTTGCATGACTCTGGCATGGTGCTGGTATCGATTTAAAACCAGCACTATGCCAGAGTTATACAAGTTTGGCGCTAGATTTCTATTCGATTATCCGGTTTGTGCTATTCGGGTGAGACTTGAGAGGAAGGATAAGCTTAATTGGCAATGTTTTAGGTAAGATTTTTTAGAAGGTTTTAGATTATTTCTAGCAGGTTTGAAAAAATCCTAGCAAATTGAAGAAATATTAGTTTTTGCACCTCATTTAAACCCCTGATTAGGATCAATAGTTAGATTAAGTTCAATCATCATTCAATTCAGATCATAATGGAGACTAGGAGTCGGTTTCTAGTAATCTTCACAGCTTCTAAGGATCGGAATGATATTTTATTTCCTTCAATATAGGAAGCAAAAAAAGCTTAACTGAGACTAGGGTATGGTGCTTCGAGTAGCTATAAAATTAGCATAGTCCTTTTTACTATGATTTCATTGGTGTTGCTGTGAAGTAGTGTTTTAATAATATTGCGGTCTCCTGCTTTGATACCTGACAGTTTTACATTTTAATGCTAATCATAAGTTCTTATGAATATATCTATTTTATGTGATACATGACACCATGCAGAGTTGAAGCTAGAAATGTTTTGATAGGGAGTTTGAATTTTTTTTAAAGACGAGAAAATTTGGCAGGAAGGGATTAAAACATTAAAGAAGTTAAATGAAATCAGTTTATCACAATTAATTTTAAATTGAATTAGTTTCTTAAACTCGATCGTGAATTACTCGGGATTGATCAAAAGAAAGTGAAAAATCCAAATCAAAACATCATCAACAACTTAAAATGAATATTCAAGTATATACAAGATAATCAGCATCATCATGCTGAGTAAAAACTCTTCTCAGTTATTCAATTAATTCATTTACAGAAACAATTAACTCAAGATTATTAACATCGATTAACATCGTTTTAAATTACATGCATTTCTTTCCATTTCCGAAGCACATTCAAGATAGGATGCCAAATTTATTTATATAAGTATTAATTGCACTTCCTTACGACTATGAAAAATCATTGTCTGGTGCATTGTTAACCTCAAAAACATATAGTAATGCCACCTCTGATGTGTGATTTTTTAGAGCACTTACTCATTTAGTTCATGTATAGCGAAAAAATTCCCCACCAAACCTCACAGATACTTTTTTTTTTCGCTCTCAAGTCTCATTTTATTCTCTACTCAATAATATTTATGCTGCAGTTTACGTTTTTGGTATAAAAAGCAATTCGATTTTTCCAATTATCGTCATTCCTTTAACAAACAGTGATTGAGATAGTTTCGTGTGTTAAATTAATAAGTAAGTGAACCCCAAAAAATATTTCAGTACATAAAAATTAACTCAAATTTTCAATTCCAATAGACAAAAGATTTGTGAAAATGCGTTTATTCGTGACTGCTTTATTTGCAATTGTGTCTGTGACAACAGCTCAACAGCAACAAATTGATCCTGCATATTTGAGACAATATTATGCACAACTTAACCAACAAGGAGGATCACAAGGATCACCAAGAGCTGCTGCTCCAATTTTTGAGCAACAAGAACAACAACAGCCTCAGCAGTTCCAGGCAGCACAACCTGCAAGAAATGTAAGTTTATGGTTTTAAAATTAGAAGACAAAGTTTCTACAAAAGATTAGGATTGGTACACTGGCTCTATACACGGTTTAAACCTACTTACTGCTTGGTCCTTTAAAGGTTCTATGAACTTTATGAAAACATTCAAAAATGCTCTAAAAATCCAAATTTTCCATATTACAAAATGCATGTCATTGACAGATCAAGATAAGCACCTTACAATTTCTTATGCAAATTTACAGCTTATAAGCTTCAATCTTACGCACTTTTATTTTTTGTTGCATAATACCTTAATACACGTGGCATATTCCATTCCATTCAGCTAGTCTTTTCATTTTAACTATCTTTTTGCCATTGAATATTTAAATGCAGACCATAAAAATGCAATTACCTTAAAAACATTAGCCCACATTTCCCTCCAAAACATCCATAAACTTTAATGACTATCTTTTATTTTAGTACCAAAAACCAGCTCAAATCTTCGTGCCAGAACAACAACAGCCAAGACAATATCAACCTCAACCACAGCAGGTAAGTCAAATGAAAGTGAAACTCTTTCATAATCAGCATCAGTGCGACAGCATTGACATTACAATGTCAGTGTATACATCCATCTAATATTGCAATTTATAACTTTCACACGCAGGTTCAGTATCAACAGCCAAAAGCACAACCAAGACCAAAGAAACCAGTCTTTAGACAAGAGGAAGAGCAATCCCAGGAAGACTATGACGTAAGTTTTATGCGACATAACCTTGAATTTTTATAAGTGCAGCGACAACTAGTCAGCTTTATTCCGGTTTTTTAATCTCTTGACAATGAGGCATGCATCATGAAATTGTAGCATTTTATAATGCCAGACCAGTTTTCACTTTCAAACTCTTTTCTTTCTTTCTTTCCGGTCCATATGCCTTCAATATTAATGAATATGCAAAAACTAGGCATTTATTACAGCACTTATGGAATTAGTAACTTACCATTATTAAACATATTCGATAATAATTCCAAAAAAGAGCTGTTTGAAATTATTATGCAATAATAATAATATCTTATATTGCATACATTGTGGCCTACACAAATTATGCATACAGCAAATACCGTGCATTTTTTTGCTGTCTGTTGTCTTGATGCCAATTACCTGTTTTTCTCCTTACGAGAAAGACTTTCTTCTCAAATTACTCAATTGCTTATTTTTTTATGTATTTATAAAATGTTTGTACGTGACATGAGCTGTAAAGCTAATAATCGTAAGCTTAAATGCCGGGTCAATGAGAATTTTCATCAATAAAAATTAATTGATCATATTACGTATAATAATGACTGTTAAATGATCCTCTTCAACACATAACAATCACAACAGCTCTTAAAGCTGAATATATAGCCTCTTTCCTTCATGTGGGTCAGTCATTAGTTACGTAACACTTTTTGCGAATGGGGATTTGAGATGTTATTGACAGTTGAATGGAAAATGGATGACAATGAGTCTAAAAATTCATATTTTGCGTTACATAAAAAATGAACAGTCCCCATAACTTTATTGAATTAAGTGTCAATAATAGGTAGTTAAAAGACATGTAATAAGCCGCAAAAAATAGTCATACATTTTTCATAACCCATTGTGCGAAATGCTGAATAGTTCACATTCACGTAACTTCTATGATTTTGAGAGTACATTCGCTTTTAGCACAAATTCCCACATTTAAAAAAAGGCTTATTACCGATCGATGTCTGATCTGGTTAACACAGCAAATAAATTGCTTAAAGTACCTACTTCACTTTCACTTTTACCTACAAATCCAATTTCGCGAATTGAAATAAAAAGAAATAATGACATGCCCTGTCTGTTGCTATACACTTTACTTTATGCTCTTATGAATGGACGAACATGTCTATGCCCCCAAAATAAAACGAGTTTTTTAAACAAGACCTCAATTATTGGATACTTTTGACACAATTTTTTTAATGCGTATATTGATATCGCACATGTGATTTATTATGTAAGTCATGACAATTAATATGTTGTAACTTTATATCTTACAGCCAAGTCCTTCATACCAATTTGGCTTCGATGTTAAAGATGACGAATTCACCAACTATCAAAACCGTAAAGAAAGTCGCGAAGGAAATGTAATCAAGGGAAGTTACTCAGTTGTTGATTCCGATGGATTCATCAGAACAGTCACTTATACAGCTGATCCAAAAGAAGGCTTCAAAGCTGAAGTTGTAAGAGAGCCAACTGATATTGTCATTAAGGTTCCAACACCTGCCCCACAAACTGAACAGCAAGGTCAAATTTTCCGTCAATCACAGGCTAAGGCACAACAGCCTCAGCAACAGCATCAACAATATGCTCAACAGCCTCCACAACAATACAGACAGCAACAAGCTCGTCCTGATTATTATCAACAATAATTCTTATTAATCTTTAGTTTCACTTCCACTTCACAATCCTAGTCCTATCCCTTAATTTTATTCACCACATATAAAAATGCTGGAGAAGAGACTGAAAACAATTTTTTTTGTCCGTATCTTGCCGGAGACTTTTATAATTTATTTCCATCCCATTCATTATGAGTTCCCTGTGCAACCCCTTTTTATTATTATTAGTTTTTTATCTACACAGCAGTGATGCCGTGGACTGTTTTTTTCTCATTATTATTATTAATATTTTATGTGATCTTTATGCCTTACTATCGATAAAAAAATATGAAAGAAAATAAATTGTTCAACAAAAAAAAAATTAAAATTAAGTTGAAGTGTCTTTTTGAATTCAGTCAAGCGATAGATGTAGCAATTTATATGTTTTGACATTAAAGTGTGTTTGTTGCAAGATTAAAATTATTGACCCGTAGCATGGCGTATATTTTTGTCGCTGTTATAAACATAATAAGATGCTGATGTTACGCTTTATTCTCTTCATCACGCCTTCATAGAAATAAATGAGAAGATGATGTGGAGTTGTAAGTATGGGGATGTGGTTGAGTTGATTGCGCATTTTTGAGGTATAATGTTAGTTCTTATTGAAGACTGTGCTTAGGTCGAGGGTTGTGCTCAGGCGCGTAACCAGGGGGGGGGGGGGGTAGTTTGGGGGATTTGGCAGGAGTTTTATGAAAAAATAATAGCCCCCCCCATTCCCTCTGAATTTTCTATAAAAATTTTTTTTTGTCCCCCCTCTTCAAATTCCTGGCTACGCCCCTGGTTGTGCTCATTCAGGATCATTAACCTCCCCCCCCCCCCCAACCTGACAATGCTGCTGTGTGGATTCTAATTTAAAATCAAAATTTGCATAATTTAATACAAACCTCCCCGGATCTTTCCATATAAACCACAAATCACATAATATGTCACTAAAGCCAACAATTTGTCAGCATCTTGACCCGAAAAATTCAAAAATCAGTGCTAAAAGAGCATGAAAAACTCATAATAAAAGAAATAAAGTCATCAGCAATAGAACAGAAAAAAGAGAAGAAAAATCAGATTTTCTTCTTAATGTTCGCACATTCGTTTCGTTCAGTCGAGAGTTTCGTAAAATTGGAAAATCAAAAAAAAATATTTTATTTCGTAAAAAAAGCAGTTTAAATTTTCATTTTAGTCAGCGGTGAGATCGTTTGGAGGAAAATTGTGTGATCAACGCGAATTTTTTTTCATAGCTTGAAAAGAAAAAAATTATTTTTGACTGACAATTTTTATAGCAAAAAAAATAATAAGTGATAGAAAGCAATGTCTTCAATTTATTCAATGCATAGGCCTGGATTTTGGAGAGTTCCACAACCAAACAACACTCAATATGAGCATTCAAAGAAGAAAGTGCATTTTGTTGATGAATATGTAAGTAAATTGTATTGATGACAAATATTTGCGGCTAGACATTCTAGACAGGTGGTTTTCCACAAGACCACATTTCAATTTCACACCTCTTATTCATCCAAATAAATATAAGTTTGCAGTATAAAAAGCAGGCACGATGATGAGTGAAAAAAAAATATTTCTTACTTCCTCCTTTCTTTTTTTTTTCTTTTCTTCTTCAAAATCAATTGTGTGTATTTTTTGGCATCAAAGCCAATGACTTAAAAATATTTAAACTAATAGCCAAGATTATTAGATGGATAATTGAAACTTGAACAAATCACTGCCAATGATGCTCGTTGTAGCTATATATTACTGATGCGCTCTAACTAAATCCAAGGGCAAGTTTAATGCTGTTTTTCTTTACATTCATTCATTTTCCTCGCGATCTATAATGAAAAATTCGCTTTTCTTTTTTGAATAAATTTTTCATCATAAATTAATTTAAGAAGAATTATCTTGAGTGGAATACAGAGACTGGGATTTGAGTAGCATAGAGCGAGGAAAGAGTAATGAATGTTTGTTGAAATCTTAGTTTAATAGTCTGAAGAGGAAACTGATAAGATGAATTTTTGAGCTTTCAGTCAGCAACGTGTATGTAGGCTAGGAAACCTAATCACAAATTCCCCAAACATTATCACAATTCAGAGCACTCAACATGAACAAAGGAAATTTATTTCTCACCCATTTTTTTTGACTAAATAGTGCTGCTCTATTTAACTTCATTCCTTCTTCTTGATCAAATTAATTTAACTTAATCTTGTGACATCACAAAAGTTTTTCTAGAGCTCGCGATGTGTATCATGATATTTCTATTAATAGCATTTATCTTTTATTGAAAAAAATAACACAAACGACGACAGTTTCCTGATATTAATTTTCACTTTCGTCTATATCTAGCTTAGCTATGTGGAATGAGTTCCGATGATGGGGAAAGAAGAGTGTTTGTATAGCACGCCCAATGTTATTTCATGTCTATGATTTTGATTTTTGCTTACATGATCACCGATCACATGAAGTTTATAAGAAGGAGAAATTCCAAGCAAATTTGTGTCATTGAAAATATTTTTAAAGATGTGTTTTGGATTTCCCTAAATTAATCTTGTTTTTGACACAAACATTATGCTTTATGACGCTGATGACTTAACTTTAGGGTTTGTTTAATAGGGACGTGATACAATTAGGTGATAAGCTTAAGCCAAAATGACAATACTCAAAGTGTTGTTTGAGCTGAATGGAATCTGAGATATCGAGCCATATAAAAGCAAATCTTCTATTGTGAGAATAAGGTCTTTGTGGCAAATTGGTTAAGGTGTCGTTCACTTATGACGTCCGAAATTAACGGTCATTTTTCAAAAACGAACAATTGATTTCCTGGAATTTCTATTTTTCTTTTCTAGCTGCCCCCCCCCCCCCCTCACCCCTAGATGTCATAAAAGAACGGTCCTTTAAGCAATAGACTTGCAATAGACTAACATTTTCCAGCTTACGTGAGTTCGATTCAAACAAGATCAAGGATGAAGTTTCCATTTGCATTTTTTTAAACTTAATTTGTGCGCGATCCTTTTTCCCAGACCTTGAACTATTTTATTACTATTACTACTTAAAACTTTATTCACAACTCTTCTTACTTGTCAATAAAGAAGGAAAAAGATTCGCACTCGTCATTCGATATTTTTAAAACAAGCAATCAGTTTTGCTTTATTGATGATGCGAAGAGATTTGTGATGTGAGGAAATTCTGTGTTTGCCAGAAAAAAAGAAATCAGGAACTGATTTGAAAATTTTTGCGTTCTGAGAAATCTCTGTTTTGCATTTTTGAGAGGAAAATCAAGTTCACGTGGCTTGCAATTATCACGTCTTCTTGATTAGTTTAATTTGTAAATCTTGAATCAGATGTTTTGGGTTTTTAGATTAACAAATTGAGTCGTAAGTCTCTGCTGAGTTTAATAAATATTGTAAAGTTTGTGATTGATGCTATAACAAAAATTTAAGTTATTCTATAGATGTGATTACAAATCATTTCTAATGATTAACATTAAACTGACAAACATGATTTCTTAACCAATTGTATTCCAATATAGGCAGAGAGGAATATAAACAGGGGCGTAGCCAGGAATTTGAAGAGGGGGGGGGGGGACAAATTTTTTTTTGTATGGAAAACTCTTAAGGGGGGTGGGGGGGTTGACTATTTCGAGTTTTTCATAAAAACTCTAGCAAAATTAAGAAATTTCTCAAGACGATGGGGGATTTGTCCCCCAAATCCCCCCTGGCTACGCGCCTGAATATAAATGAACATGCTGCTGACCCTGTAAGATCCTAGATCTGGTTTCTAAGCCTTTTTGAAGTAACTTGCTATTGTTCCAGTTAATTATGTTTATAACTCAGTTTATAAGAAAGAGCACACCAAAAAGCACAAGAAATCCAACCCCTGAACATTCCTACTAATTCAACTGCGAATCTTCTTCAAAACAAGATGATTTATGACTTAAATTTCTGAGAAATTTCTATTGAAAAACACTCAAATATAGATCAATGAGTAATCCATTCAAAAATGGCAACAACAAAGAATTTTTTTGTAAATTGAATGCAACAAAATTTCATTCAGTCTGTCAATTACCTTTTAATTATTTCTAAATTTCCTTTATTCAAGAAACTTGTGTGGCTAGTAAAAATTAAAATAGAGCAGCGGGAATGACTTCATAAAATTCAATATAGTCAAAAATGGATGAATTTGCAGTTACGAGAGACAGAAACTATTAAGGTTGTTGTAGTTTTTAATTTTCAAGGAATTAAATTGTAATTTTGGTCTAAAAACAGACTTTAAAGTCACAAAATGCAAGCTACAAAAATTTAAATTTCCTCGAGGATCATCTTTCAAGTAATCAGCAATAAAAATCTACAGAAATCCCATTAAATTTTGCAAAATATTTCATGGTTTTATTTCCTTCAACTACTGAAGCTAATTATCAAATTTCAAGCAACGAATCTTTCTCTTCTACATTTTTATTATTATTATGAAGACTTGTGGGGCGAAATAATTTAATAAATTTTCTTTCCTACATCGAAAAAAACAGCTTTTTCTGCTTCTTTTCTTTTTTAGAAGATCAAAAGACGTCAATAAACAAAAACAGTCACAGAGGGATTTATTTTCTTCATTACTTTATCCTTTGAGGATGATGAATCGATAATCAAGTAATGAAATTTTATTGTTATTTGGAGGTGACCATTGATTGAATGAGTTGTGATGATTTCATTGTTTCATAGCTGAAGCAAACTAAGGAAATGAGTTATTGATAGAGAATGACAGATTTTTGAAAAATTTAAAATGAAAGTTTTTTAAAGATTTGAAGAATTTTTAGGATAGAAACATTTAAACTCAATAGAATCACATTTCATGAGTTTGACTTGAGCTGACCAAAAGTCGACTCAAGTCGAATTTAAGTTCTGATCATGACTGAGCTTTATTTGTTGTCTGGATTAGCTTCTGCTTGAAAAAACTGATCTTGTTTAAAAGTTCACTTTATTGATTCTACTTGGCACAACCTGTGGACTTCATATAATATTTATAAATTACTCCTTGTCGCAGCCTTGACCAAATTCTTATCGAAAAATTTGTATTTTATTTTTATTGCTCGGGAACTCATCCTAGACATCAGCTCAGATGTCCAGCCATTAAAACTCCATCCACAATTTGAACAAAAATCCAATAAATTGCACCCCTTTTCAACCATCGTGTGTGGCACACATTCTTAAATCTTAAGTTTTAGAATTTATGTAAGAAGTCATCCACAAGCACACATTCAGAACATTTCATTCCATACGAAATTGAAAACTAATGACTCAGTAGAGAAGATGAGAACCGATTCGTGCAGAATAAAATATTCAGACATTTTCCATTTTCTGTCATAATAAATTAAACAATTATGATAAATGTTCACTTGAAGTCTGGCTTTATCTGTAGATTAATGTGTAGAGTAAAGAATAAGAAAAGCATTTTTAGATGCACTGCGGAATCTTTTACTTAAAAGTTTTGCAGTTTAGATTAGAGTTGCAATTTTCTATTTTTTGCACGTACTGCACGGTATTAGCATGTGAAGGATAATGGAAATTTTAAATATTTATATTAATTAAGGCACTAGATTGCTCTCGTTTTCACTTGAACTATCTGTAGATTTATGCAACTAACTCTCATGTGAATAATTCATTCAGTTTCAATATTTAATCGTTCATTCATGCATACAGCAGCGTGTGTTTATATGCGAATCGTTGTGCTCAATTTAATGATGAAATGTTTGTTTTGATTTTCTGTGCGAACCTGGAATGTGCTGGCTTGTAGGATTCGTCTGGAGAATGTTTTATGGCTCTTTGTGTGATGTTTTGTGCAAGTTGAAGTTTTGAGTGATTTTTTTGTGATGCAAAAAATGAAAATAAGTCAGTTTTGTATTTTATGGGACGATTAAAGACTTTTTAGAGTGAAAATTGTTAATTTATGGATTAATCCTGAACTGCTTGATATAAAGAACTCAAATTTTCATTAATTGCGTTGTCCAGTGCAGGGTAAATTTCAAAAACTACTCAATCATCCGAAAATGTTCCTAAAATGACCTAAAAATCAAAATAAGTTCTTGACTCTTGACAATTTCTGCCATTTCTGTCAAAATAACAAGAAATTCATCACAAATCTTTAAACATTCCTCCGGAAATCGCTTCAATATCTTCCTACAAATCACAGCTTCTGGTTTTCTAATAACTTTCTACTGACGTCAAACACAGCAGATGTAGAACACTTGAAATCATCAATAATCCTCTCATTCATCAATACAATCCGACAAAAGGTGTTGAAAAACAGAGAATTAGTGACAGTGAAAAATGTCTTTGCCATGTGAAGTCAAGTGCTATTAAAATTCATTTAGTAATTTTCAATCATCATTATTTTGACATTAATGCTTAAAATCAAAATTTATTTATTCATAAAACGCATCTCACGTAAAAAATCGGACACCTGTTTAATGTGTAAAAAGTTTTAATCTAAAAAATACAGTGAATCACACACAGTGCAGACAAAATATAGACAGTGAGATTAGGTTCGTTCACGTATGCACAGTTAAAGTACACATTCATATTTCTCATTTTCACGAAAAATTTCTTTTCGCACATGTTTTTTCGTTTTCACGTTTCATTCTTTTTTACTGCTATGAATCATCTGTAATTGCCTTCTCGAACTTATTTACAGCTTTTTGTTTCAACTCGTTACATTGAGACTTTAAATATTAAGTTTCAAAAGTCAATGAATCTTTGTTGTTACTTTTTAAATTAATTTTTTGGAAGTGATCATCTTCTTAGGCTGTGGAATGACTTCAAGATTGAGTAGGAAAGTTGTCACGGAGTCTTTAAGAAGGTTTATACCAGTTTATACCACCTTTAGATGGTAAATCTTTAAATATTTTTACAATGAATATGCTACTCAGTATAAACCTTTGTTTAAGAAGAACGCACAAACAAATAAAACTAGAAACTTGACACAAACATTTTCACATCCAACAAGTCATTACAAACTTCCAGAATAATTTCATCGCATTTAAAAATTCATCCTCATAATCCCATCCATCAATTTAATGACTTAGCAATTATTCCACAAAAAATAAGCCTGCCCACAAGAAATTTTCTTAAAACTCATTCAATCTCACATTTCCTTCATCAAATTAAAGCAAAAAAAAAACACACAAAAATAAAGGAAAGAGATGCTTCTACAAGTAATCAATGTCTATTTACCTCCCGTTGGTATCACTTTTCACTTACAAAATGCGATCATTCATTCTTGATGAAGAAGAAAAGAAATTTCAAGTTTCAATGATACGCAAATTTTCGTCAGATCACTCTCGGGTTGATGCATGTACACAGAGAGAAGAAGGATGGGAAACTTTGATGAAATTCTTGTTTATGTGATCAAGTTCACGAATGTTACATTTGATGGTGAAAATTGAGGATTTAGTAATTGTTTTAAAATGTCATTTGGTGTAATTATCTGACCAATAGCATCAGTCAACTTATAAGCCAAAAATCCTATATTAAGGTTGACCTAATGAGTAGTTTTAAGTTCCAAACGAAACTGGAAGTTTTTTATTCAGCTCTTAACACGATTTTTTATCAGGTAAAGCAGTGTTGTTCAAATTATGCTAAACTATGTCCATAGTAAAGAAGCAGTAATTATAGCGTTGGGATGGTTTTGAAGTCTTTAGACACGGAATGTATTGATTTTTCCAAGGGTTTAAGTATTGGTCTTTAGGACTAACTGATGTACTCTACTCTAGCTTCAACCATTTTTGGTTGCATACCAAAATGAGATATTTTAAAGGTTAATCACTCCCGACCGAATGACGAAATTCCTCGTCAATCCATACCTTATTGAAATTTATCAAATCCTAACCTACAAATATCATCACTAAATCCAAAATCAATATAAAACAGCATTTCATTTCTTAATTCCCATTTTATCACACTTAAATCATGTTCTATACTTAAAGTTGTCAAAATAGACACAACATAATTTCTTTCTCGATCTATCCCAATAGAAAAGATCGAAACATGTGCCAAACACCAATAAATCTTCCCATTCCCGATAGATTGAGATTCCCATCATTTTTTTCATTCCCAAGTGAAGAAAAAAGAAAATTAAGAGTAAAGAAAGAAATTTTTTATAGTTTGTGCTCTTGCAATCGCGCGCTCGAAAAAAAAAGATATTTGGATGCCTCTCAGTAATAAAGTGGCTTTCATTACGTTTAAATCCATCTTCGATTAGAAATTAGATTTTCATCAAAACTTATTTATTTTTCTGTTGGATATCATTCGCGGTTGTGATCGGATTTGTGATTAATGTTTTTAAAAAAATTGTGAAAATGGAAAACATTTTGTGGAACTGAAAAAATTCTTGCAAGGACAGTTTTATGTGCAACAAATAAAAGAATTAGAAGGAAAAATAATTTTTCGCGAATCACCCAGACATAGTCTATTTTTAATTACCGCAATTTTGTGTTCCTCGCATTACAATTTGTAAATTTTGTGAAAGTGAAAGATTAAGCTAAGTCAAGTTACATAGAATATGAGTCAATTGTATCATGAATTTGGTGTTACATTGGAGCGGAAGGGACCTGACACACATTGGGGAATAAGACTTGCCGGTGGTAGTGACTTAAATTCCCCATTAATTATTATTCGGGTAAATCTTTTATTTTTACGATCTCAACGACTGACGCGTGTCGGAAATGACATTAGAAAATGTTCTTTTTATGCACAAAATGTAGGAACAACAAGTAGTAAAAGTCATGATATAAATAAAACTATTTAACCCAATTTATGTTCATGCTTGCACCCATGATGCAATATCCATCATCCATTCATATACAGTCACATGAGAGAAACATCTCTTGGCATCCAATCCACTCTCATGTGAGACGAGATGAGGTTTTAAGCACGATTGAATGTTGCATATAAAAAAATTTAACATTTTTAATGACTCAATTTTAATTCAAATATTTTTCTAGAAATTTATGTATTTTCATTTCTCATGTCTGTGTGGAAACATCATCATATGTTCGATGAAAGAATTATTTATCCACAATATACTGCGTCCGCAAATGTTATTGCTTGTTTATGCGGAAATATAATAAGAAAAGAAAAATTGAGAAAAATATTTTCATCCTCTTCATGATTTTTCTTTTTCGTCGTGCAATATTTGTGAGTTGTCATTGTCTTTGGGCATGCAGATTGGTTAAGTTTGTCTTGTTGGTTTTGCAGTGCTGAAAAGATCAAGTCTTTATGCTTAATTGGAGAGTTTTTAGCGCTTGAATATTAAAGTAATTTTAAGGATAAGAAAGAGGGGTTCTTAACCTGATAGAGTCTTCCCTTGCCTTTATACATGGGACCTCCTAGAGTCTTAATTTGTCTGTATACATGGGACTTATTGCTAATACCACTATAAGCAACTTATTTAAGGATTAGAAATCGATGTAATACACACTGAAGTCTAAATAAAATTGGCTGTAGCTAGAGTAATCCTCGAACCATTGGGTACTTCCAATAGCGCTATAATTACTTCTTATTATAAAATCAACATTTACCTTAAAAGGGGCAATTGACTTATGACGTCCGGGGGTAAGGGGGGGTCAGCAAGAAAAGAACAATAGAAATTCCTGGAGACCCATTCTTTTTTGAAAAATGACCGTAAATTTCGGACATCCCGTAAATTTCCGTAAATTTCGGAATTTCGGACATAATTTCGGTCGTTCGTGAACGATTCCAAAGTAATTTGCTTCTTTTCTATTCGATGACACATTTGGGCCCATTGTCACACTCGGAGTATGACCAAAACTGATTCCTAGCTCAATTTGTGTATTTCTTCACAACCTAATCTGTCTACCCTGAATTTGCTGTCATCCAGAACTGTTCGTAGAATCATCGAAAATTTGAATTAAGAAGCAAAACATAATTTCAAAAAAATGCGCTTAAATTAAATCAATCCCAATTTTCAATTCCTCTCAGAATCAAACAAAAGCTTTTCTAGCAATTCAATGAGTTTTCATTAAAAATTTTCAAGTGATTTTCTTTGCTTCAATTTTCCTTTTTTCTATCCACAAAAATAACAACGATTGATACAAAGTATTGATCTTTTCATCTGACGAAAGCACTAAATTAGACGAAATTGCATCCTTTGTATTCCCAAAAATAAATTCACGGTCATGACTAATTCATGAGTACAAAGCAAACAGACATTTGTTTCTAATCCAACGGAACAGATTTTTTATGATTCTTTCTAGTGCCAATTTTTTGTAATTTTCATGTCGGTCAGAAATTAAAATTTTTATTGCTTCTTTGAGTCATTAAAATTGATTCTGCACATTGTTGGAAGATCACTTAACTGAGTGAAAATATTTCAAGGTTCATGTTTATGTGCAAATTTTAATTATTGAAGTGAAATGGCTTTTAAAGTATTTTTTAATATGCTCTAAATGTGCTCATTACGAAAATTTATGGCGAATCTTATGATACCTTGAAAAACAAGCCATATTTCAATTTTATATATCCTGGAAGTCGTTGAGAAAAATTTGAGAGAATTGTCTAGCTGAGAGATTGATTTATGCCTCTTAAAAAGTTGTGGATATGCTTGCTGCATAGATTTAAGGGGAATTAATGCTTATCTACTAATTCTGCCTTACAAAATTTCTTTTCAGGTCCATCCAAATAGTCCAGCAGAAAGAGAATTGTTGCGTGGTGATATAATAACAAAAGTTGAAGACTATGATGCACGAGACTTGCGACACGAAGATGCACAGATGCTGTTTAGAACACAAGACAATAAAATTCGTTTGGTTGTGAGACGTGATAACAAAATTGCAATGAATTCGAGTAAAAATAATCCAATATCGTCATTGAATCCACCGGATGTGCAGCCATCCTATATTCCTCCTCAGGCTCCTTACAGGTGAGTGATGATATTGATTCAGCTGTTTAAAATATTAATCAACTGTTTAAATGACATTTTAGAGCCGCATCGCCGATTCCTCGTGGTCCACATAGCATGGCAGCAGCTTGTGCATCTCCACTTGAATCACTTCCACACACTGTTTTTCCTAATGATCCACATAATTATCATCATCAACAACAATCCTATCAAAATCAACAATATCAACAGCAACAACAACAACAACAAAATCAAGCACAGCATGTCAATTACCCACCACCTCCACCGCCAAGAACTTGCTTCAGTCCTCAATTGACAAGAGATTACTATCAAACTAGCGAAGAAGAAAATGCCAATCTTCAATATCAAGTGAGTAATTTTGTTTATGCGAAATTTAATTTTAAAACAGCTTTTTTTTTCTTGCTGCGTGTCAATCACTTTCACTAATCTAAGTCGTGATGAGTTATCCCATACCGTCAGTTCATTCAACTCTATTTGCTATTCGTTCAGATGAATTGTATATAATGGCTTTCTTATTCTGAGAAATTCTCGGTTGTTTATCATTAATGAGCACCAAGCAACAGCTCAGGAAAAATGTCTTAATAATATTACTTACTTGACCTAATTAAGATTGAAAAGAAATTTCCCACGCGAATTTTCATTGAAATTTTATTTTTGCTTTCATAATTGAAAATAATTACAAACTTTGCGATTACATGACTTGGTTAAAATTAAAAAGGATGTGACATTTAATGTACTATTACTTGAAATTGTTGCGTGCAATGCCGACCGATTTATAATGTGTCATGTCATCATAAACGTTAATTTTTCACTAATTCGCAATTTATTTGTGCAATTTTTATTAAGATGTTTTGACACGAACAATATTTAATATGTTTTAGTCAGCTATAGCTTTTAGTCATGGGGATAGTCTGTTTACTTAAGAATAGTCTCTAAGCAAAGACGAAATACTAATTAATCATCAGTTGATCCATAAAGTTGAACTATAAAATACTTTAGAAAGAAGTATACTTAGACTTGAAGTTTAAAGAAGGATCCAAACTACTTCTTTGATCACATATGTGTTTCTAGCTCACAAAGCATTGGAATATGCGATTCGATGTAATAGCCAGTCAACGATTAATCATGTGGTGCAAGGGAATAGTAAAAAGAGTTTAACTTATATATGGGATTTAACCATATAGTCGTCAAACCCCCGATAGCTCAGTGTTTAGAGCATGTGATCAGAAATCGTAAGACGTATGTTCGAGTCCCGCTCGGGATCCGTTATTCGGAGTTATACTTTTTTTCTGTGGTTTTGTCATCTAGAAGTTTGCTTCTTTCTTCTTGATGTTTCAATACAAAGTAAGGCTTTGAGCTTCATTTATAGTCCAAAGAGTTCAAAAAAGGATAAGCGCAGAATTTTACATACCGATTCCCATGATTAGGCTATTAAAGTCCCAATTTTATTCAATGCTGAAGCCAGGACATGTCGATAAACCAAAAAGAAACCCGATTGACACTCTATTTATGATTGATGTGTCATTATTGCAATAATTAGGAGCCAAAGTATGCTACCGAGCTACTTCGACTTGAACAATTTGAAATCTGGATCATGTGTACACAATCATTGCATTAGTCTTAAGATAAATCAACTTAATCCTAGTCACAATTCAAAATCTAATCCTTAAACCCTTGCATACATCCGACAGTGATCTATATCATCCCACAGACACGTTTTACATTTTTCAATTGTTATAAAGCATTGCCAAATTTCAGCTTCCGATTTCAAATGACTTTCCTTCATTAATAAAATTAAATTAAATAACATCTTCTAGAAAATGATTTCGTATAAATAAAAATGAGAGACTTAAGGAAAGATGAATTACAATTAAAGCGATCGTATACACGAGGAGAGTTTCATTCAAGAATGAAAATTACTTGAGACATTAAAATGTCTTATTAAATGTAGATTCGAACTTAATTTAATGTGCGTAGATGCTACACAATACAGACAAAAGAGTTTTTATACTGAAAATCATTTTTGGATCAGTTCCAAATTTCAGCTCGACGTTTTGTTGTTTCGCTTTCCAAAATTTCTTTTGTGTATTGCTGTGTTGGGGTGGTTCGTTGATGATGGGAATGGGAAAATGATTTTATTGGACTTCTTTTATCTCTTGTGTCACTAAAATGTATGGAATGATGAGCAGCAATAGACTTTAAGGTTTTTCAAAGACCAAAGTCAATTTTATTAGAACTGTAACACTTGTGGCTTCCTTGTTATTACTGAGTAGACCCTCTTTGCTTCTTATAGTTGAACATTTTTTACAGACGTCCACCACATCTAGCTTGATGATTTAATTTTCTCATATTTGTTGCTATAAACACAAAAGAGAATCTGCTACTTTTTAAAGTTTAATTTTATGACATTCAACAAGTATTTTTTGAGATTCTAGTGACAGGTTTAAGCGGAAAGTCGCAACTTTTATGACACCATCGACTGACACTAACATCTCCTTTTGGACAAAGTATAAGATTTATTTTCAAAAATTTATGTCAAGTCATAATCTGACGGAATATTTCCAAGAGTCAATTTCATTGTTGGCAATTAGCTTACAAATTGGATTCTCGTCGCTTTACCTCGACGTGAATAATTTTCACATCTATGCATTTGCACTTGACGTCAAGATTTTTTTTTTTTTCGAAGGAAAGGAAAATTTATGGTCAAACTCTTAATTTTAGCGTCTTATTTTACATGAATATAATTACCTTGCACTTGGTCAATGTGCCTGTTTTCTTCTTCGTTTAATGTCTTTCTATTTTGTTGTTTCTTCAATTTGGCACGTTTAATGCACACTGAATATTCGTTTTTTTTTTCTCGACGGAAATTTTTAGAAGGAAAAAAATTGAGCAAAATGAGATGGGAATCAATGTTCGTCAAAATGGGGTTGTTTGGTTGTGATGTATGCCATATTATGGATTTGTCTTTAAGTTACGACTGAGAAAGATGATATGGAGTACTGTTGAACTAGAGCTGGGATCTACCCTATCGTAATCATAGTTAAGTTATGTCCAAACTCTAAATCAGTGAATCTCAAACTGTGTGACGTGAAAAATTTGGGATACACGACGAACTGTATGCTGTGTGCAGTTTTAGTCAGGAATAACCGCCAAGTGTGCCATGGCACAAAAAAGATTGGACACCAACCAGCTCTAGATTGATATCCCTTGATTTTTGTAGCTCTAAAGGATTGAAATTTATTTGCATTTAAGTACCAATGCCCGAAAAGTGGTCAGTTTTGAAGTTTTATGATGTTACTTCTGCTACTCTTGAGCTTAACAACTAACCATATAAAAGTGATTCCAGCAGACAGCACAAATGAACATCCATCCAATGTTTTTTTTTGACACAACAACATGCTTGTATGTAGACCCACGATCACATATTTTTGATGATGAATTTTCATGAAAATTGATTCTTTTTGTAAATTTTTTTATTATGTCATGGAAATTAATATTCGATGTGATTTTTTTTTTCGTGATGTGCCTGCATGAATTCTTCATCATTCAGCTTCATTCATTTAAATATTCAGCAAATAAATTCTTTTGAAAATTTCGCAATAAAAATATTACGATGAAAAATGAGGGAGATTGTGACTGAAGAATTTATCATATTTTTGTGACAAATGTATATTAATATTAAGGTGTTGATTGCCTTGAGAACTGCAAAATGGACTTTATTCAATGCAATTTGACTTAATTTTTCATTAAGTTGTTAAATAATTTTCATTAAACTCATCATTAGTGCCATGCACAATATAAATTCACTGATATAACTTGACTGTATGTGACAAAAAAGGTAGAATCCAGCATCGGCTAAGAATTCATTTTTGAATTTCTGTTCACGCTCTTGCATTGAATAATTCAGATACCCAGAAAGTATCACATCGGATCTACTTGAGGATCATCAACCTCATTTTGTGTCACTTTAACAAGAATTCTTTGCGTCTGATTTAAATTCCAATATTCTCATGTCAAATGTAGTCAAATGTCAAAACACATGCAGCACATACAAATTAAATATCCATCATAATTTTTGCTCATTTTCTGCTTTTCTCAGCAAAAAAAAGAAATTTTTATCTACCTTAAATTTTATTTTCATTCCTTACCAGCGTCATTCGCCGTATCTTTTTCCCCACTGATGCTGTTATTGTTTCTTTAATATGCAAAATAATAAAATAAATTGTCAAGGACATTTTTGTTTGTACAGCAATCATAAGTTTCGACGGAATATGATGTAAATAAAGCAATTGAAGGAGGTGAGAAATTGCATTTACGAGAACAATAAAGAAAATTAGGCGCGCGTTGAATTGGCAAGGATGAATTTAATTGTGAATAAGTCGTCATTTCACTTATTTTCTTAGAAAAAGACATATGGGAAGTTTACATCAGCAGTTATGAATATTTTTCATGTACATGCGTACAATTTTTTTTAATTTTAATTAAAAATCTTGTACTGATGCCCAGTTTAATGACCTTAGACTAGCTTTAAACCTTCAGAAGTTGTGTTTATTTTGGGATAATTGATGTTTGATTATTTCTGTCTCTTATCTTTCTATTTATGAAAGTAGATTAAGATTATTTTCGGATAGGAATCAAAAGAAGGAGCATGTGGTTAAGTCTGCATAAAAATACACACCGCAACTTGTTGTCTAAGACGTTATTGTCTGATGAGTTGTTTATTAACGACGACAATTTAAAGTTCTTGATGCTTTGAGATCTCTATTCCCTTTGGGGCCATTCACTTATTACGTAACGCTTTTAGGGGGAGGGGGGGGGGGGGTCTAAGATTTTGTTACGATTCAAACAAGGAAATTTTTTTTTCATACAAATTTTGTTACGAGGGGGGGGGGGGGGGGGTCTGAGAAGTCATTTTTTCGCGTTACGTAATAAGTGAACAGCCCCTTTATAGAAGTGTCTTCCTCCAGGAAGATTCATCTGAGGCCTGTTTCTGCAGCTACTTGGAGCTTGGAGTAGCTTTCTTCTTTAGAACTCTAGAACCAAAAGTTGATGTACTTAAGTTTGCTAGTTAAGTAAGGAATTGACTATGATTTACGAAAGGTACCTAAGGTAGCCTTAAAAATAAACCCCTGGTCACTATTCTTCGAAAATTTCTTGCAAATTGAGATATTTAGGATCTTTTTGTCCTGGTTACATCTCTTGCTACTTGACTTAATATTATAAAATAATGTTCTCATTGAGGATTGTTGGTTTAGATCTTTTATGGCCAAATGAAACTCGATGTCACTATATATTGATCCTATGGTTTGCTGCCTTATTCAATCTTATACAACTTGATTCGGGATAATCAGTCAGTGCTAATGATGATTAATATTAAGATTTTTGACAATTGCATGATTAGGAGGACAACGAGAGCTTTAAATCAGAGCTCGAAGTCGACTCGAGATTTTCATCAATTTTGTATGGCAGAGTCGACTTCGAGCTCTGCTTTATTTTTGGATTATAATTGTAAAAGGAAAGTTATGGATTATAAATCAAAGCTTTCCCAAGCCAAATATTCATCAAATCAACTAAAATCAAATAAGTTGATGATTCCTTGAGTTCGGTTCTCGTTAAAACAAATTCTGTCAAAATTCTCAATATCAGGAAGCAGTTTGACTAATTTAATTCACAAAAACCTATGTAAACACCTCTTTCTTCTTATCTCTTTCCTTCCTTCACGTTTCGTCAATACATTTTCAATAAGAAATTATGTGGAACTAAAACAAATTCAAAGATCAGTGATGAAAATCACTTTCATGATACATTTTTTCTCACATACACAACAACCAGAATGTTCGTGAACCTAAAAAAATAAAAAATGTTAGTGAAAAAAATTAATTTCCACATTTTCACGAAAAAATACGAAAAGGCAAAAAAAACATTTTTTTATTAATTAAAATTTTTAAAATCCTCCTCAGTTGCTTTCGGGATATTGAAAGTTTCACAACAACTCGAAAATTAAATTAAACGAAAAAAAGGTTCGGGAAACAAAAAAATTTATTTTGATCCTGGAAAAATATTTTGAAAATTTTTCTTTTTAATTCTAGTCTTTAAAACAAAAACTTAAAAAAGTGCTTAAGAATTTCGAAATTTAGTATAACAAATTAAGTCACAAAGATGACAAGTGTCTATCCTAGTCAGTCAACTCCCTCGTTCCTCAAGAAATACACAAAGAGCGTTTACAATCGCGTTCAATATAATGCACATCATGATGCCCATCATCAAAATATGGACGAGGCTGCAATCGACCTTCAAGTAAGGAATCAATTTAATCTTTATGGATTCTCAAAAAAAGAGTTATTTAATCAGTAAAAATTCCTGAAAGTGATGAAGAAAAAAAAGATTTTCTTTTTCGAGAAAAAAATGCGTGTAAAAATAAACATTTTGCTAAACGGTAGAGACGACTTGCTAAAAATAACAGCCCCAAAAGCGCAATATTAGTGGCAGTGATAAAGTTTTTTATATACTTTATTTTTGAGTTATTCTTAAATATTTTTTATTTTCATTCTTCTTCAAAATATTTATGTATTGGCGACAGTTGTCAAAATCTTTCATTTCTTGCTCGCTTAAAAAGTTGACAGTTTTAGTGGATATGGAAATATTAGGAAGTTGCTCGATTGTGAAATAAGAATTCGAATCTTTACAAAATTTTGTAAATTTATTTGAAAACTTATGTAAATAGAAGTGATTCAAGATCAAAAGAATTGTAGGAAGATTTGTGGAAGATGTAAAGCATAACCTTAAATTGATCTTTATAAATTTAGTTGGAAATGATCTCTTAATTTTGAGTGTCACTGCAAATATTTTTGTGATTTTTAAAAGAAAGATTAATATAAATTTGATATTGATCCTAAGTCACAGGTCTTATGATATTTCGAAGTGGATGTATCTACAACTTTGTAACACTGAAACACACATTTCGATCCTTTTGCATAGGATATCTTCCATTTATTCAAGGAATTAGAATTGATCTTGATAATAAATCTTACTCTTTAACTATCTTAGCCATATAGATCAGTTGTGATTCTTAGTTTTCCTTAGATGATGCCTCAAGCTAGTCATATCTCAAAAAACTGCTTTCTCAATGTTAATTCCAAGAGCTATGCTGTTGAAAATATTTTACGAAGTATAAGTGCTCCGAAAGAACACGAATTGAGTATAAAATCAAAAAGACTCGAACTCAGATTTTCAAAATTTCGTGACTTTTTTATAGACTTTATTTTTGAATGTGGGAAGCTAAAGCATTTCTAAGAAAGTATTTAAATAGGTATGAAAAATTATCTAACGAGATAATAACTCGTAAACCTTCAATATTATAGACTCTTTTTACAAAAAATCTACAAAACAAATTATTTTTCAAGAATTTCACTCTCATTTGCTTACAAGCAACGCACAGCAGTGATTTCCCTATTTTTTATGCTTTCATTAATCTGTATTGTTTACATTACCAACATTTCGTAATCTACATATACGCTGTATAGTTTATAAAATAACAAATGAAAATAAACTATCGATGCTAGTGTAAAATTATTACATGAAACCTGCAAAATCAAGTGAGAATGAAAGGAAGTCTAGATTCCAAGCTACAATGTTACGTAGTTTGTTTTAAATAACTCCACATTCAATATGTAAATTGAGTAAATTTATGCTTTATTTGACTTTCACAAAATTTTCTTATTCTTTTCAATCTGTTGAACTTCCTTCCTCTAAACTTCATTGCCACTTTACAGATTAGTCAAAAAAGTTTGTGAATCATCAAAATAAAAACTATTTTCATCTCTACACTAAACAAAAGACACAAATGATGAGTAATGACAATGATGAACAAATAATTATTTTAATACCGTCCGACATCAAAAGACTAAACTGTTGCAAGCTTTAGATTGTGAAAATTTGTAAACTGTAATTTTTTACAGATGCACAAAGTGACGAAAGATCAATCATTAAATTGTTAGAAATGGGATTTATGAGTGATTGAGTCATAAATAGATACAGATATAGATTTGTTTGGTTTAAGTGTCAAAATATGTGATTTGTAGGTTAGAACCAATGAACGGAAAGGTTTCTAATACAAAAAATATCAGATTTAAGAAGTTATGTTGATCTTAAATTGGCTTAGACCTAGATATCAAGAATCCATATCTTAGAATTTCAAATAGATTCTTGAATTTTCAAAAGAAATTAAGTTGAACAAATGTTGCTATCCTTACCAACTAAAATCATGTTTCTATGTGTATCTAAGGTTTCAGTAGAAGCTAGTAAAAGCTTTTCTATCGGCTGCATAGTGTTTACAAATTCTGTGTCTACATTTTATAGGATTTTGTGTTCAGGAGACTTGACTTTATTTAAATATCGTGTTAAATTCAAATTCAGTTAAGGTTTAATCAAAATGATCTATTTTATAACAGATTTTAGCATTCTTTTCGGTTAATCTGATTTGAAACACTAGGTTTGAAACATAGAATAGTTTTGAGGTTAGCAAGAATTAAAGCTATAGCTAAGGTTAATGATTTAGTATAATTGATATAATCCAACATGGTGAGAAAGAGAATATATTGAGAACTTATGAAGACTAACATTAAGATTAGAAGAGGACTTCAGATAGAGATTGAACTAAATCCTACCACTTTTTCTGCAACCTTTAAACATAATAATTCAAAATATCAACAAAAAAATCTTAAAATTTCCAATGCCATAATCCCAAGATCATCCATAAATACATCCATTGCACAATTTTCTTCAAAGAAATGTCATTTCTAGTTTTTCTACAATGAAAACTTTAACTAATCGCTGATTACGACATCCTCCGCCTTCATATAAAATTTCCACTCTCTTAATTTTTTTTTGCTTTTTAAAAATGTTTCTCAATGAAAATCATTTCGAGTTCATTTATTTTTCTCAGAGATCGAAGCCGATTTTTTCGGCTTAACTCAACTTTTGATTTTTTTGATAGAAAAAAGCTATTTAACACACATTTCAAGTATTTATATTGGACTTTACATGCTTTACTATGATTTTGTGTAATATTTTGTCAGCATGTAGCTATAGTAAGCTCAGAATTTCAAGTTAAACGATTTTAAGCCGAAATTTAAGCCGATCGGCTTAAAATCGGCTAAATTGAAATTCTGAGCTTACTATAGCTACATGCTGACAAAATATTACACAGAATCATAGTAAAGCATATAAAGTTCAATTTAAATACTTAAAATGGGTGTTAAATGGCTTTTTTCTATCAAAATAATCAAAAATTGAGTTAAGCCGAAAAAATCGGCTTCGATCTCTGATTTTTCTTTTATTAAATCATCGTCAGCTAGGTTTTTCAAGATCTATAAACGAATTCAATATTCTATTGATCTCATATTTTCTAGTTCATGTTTGTTTTTTCAATATTGATCAGCATGACAATGACTAAATTTACGTCAACAAAAATACACAATGACTATGTAATACGCAAGCATTGTACAGATCTTCAATACTTATTCCCTTTTGACATTGAAAATTTTTTTATTGTGAGAAAAAAAATTTTTTTTTCATGCCATCGCCAACGCAAAAGTCCATCTGGATTTGAACGTAAACGAAAAAAAAATTCTTTTGCTTCTATTTTCATCTGGCATCAGTCGTCGAATATTCAAAAGTGTGAGAGTGAACGGAAATGAAAAACTACACAGGTTTATGCACAGATTGACTAACCATGAACATCACGTATGACCACCTGATGATTTGATATAGAAATGATGCACTTTATGATGAATTCAACAAGTAAAATTAAATATTTTTTTTTTAAAAAAGATCATTTTGCTTGTTTTCATTGAAATCATCTGTTGCTAATTATTCAACTTGTTAATCTCGTGGAGGAGAAAATAAAAATTGTTTTTTCAGCACTGCAACTGCCAAAGAAAAAAAAAGATTAAAAGGGGAATATGAAAATGAATGATCATTTAATGGCAATAAAAAATTACGAAACTGATGGGAATTATTGATTTGTTGAAAGATTTGGAGATTCGAGATCTTTTGGCATTGGTTTTGAATTTAGATTGTTTTTTGGTGGGAAATTGTGCAATGGAATGATTTAAAATAGAAAGAAAACGTTTAGCCCACAAGAAAATTCTTCTAAAATGAGCAGTTAATCAAAGATTTAAGATTGATTTTCAGTTTCAGAACATGTAGGATTTGGGAATTTTTTTGAAAAACATTATTAAGGCAAAATAATCTTTTACTAGTGTATAATATAATTTAGGGATTTTCTAAGGGCAAAAACGGCACAACAATCGATGAACTGTTGTATCACCATAAGTCCTCTTATACTAAGTTTAATACTATCTAAATTAAAAGTGTCTTTTGATGAGTTCTTTGACTTTCCTAGTTTTATCTCTAATGTTACAAGATCTTCAGGAGTCCTCTTAATAACATATCTAGCCTCTATTTAATCTTGTTCTTATCGAAATGGAAATGAAATGTAAGCTTTATTAAAAAGCTGATATAAAAACTCATTATTCTTATATCTTAACAGTTTCATTAACTGTTATAATCCAAAAATGACTAATTAGAACTTCTCGATTAGATTAAAAATCAACTTCATTAGACTGCTTCCGGATCTTAAATATACTTTAGATTTAGACTGACTTTCAATGATTTCAGAGTTAAAATATAATTTAAAACTATAAAGATTATGATTTTGTTGAATAATAGTGATAAAATCTTCAAAATTTAACTTTATTAACTACATTGAAGTTAAATTAAGAACAATCTGTATCAAATCTAAGCAATTAAATTACAAATTCCTTCATAATCTTAGATCTAACCATAGCAATTAAAAACAAAACACATCAGTCATCAGGAAATTCTCGAAAACAATAAATCTTAAAATAAACTATGAGAAAAATCTGCGACACGTGAATTCAAAAGATAATTCTACAATATTCTCGATAATCTTTTGAGGAAGCAGTTCTTAAGTGGTTCCATATGTAGAATTGTATGCATTGATAAATTGAGATTTATTATCCACAGGATACATTCCAGAAAAATTGCTAAGATTGTGATATTTTCCATTACATTTAAATTTATCTTCATTGGCTAGTGTATAAAGGCTTAAGTATCAGACGTGAATTATAAATAAATATTTCTTTCCTCTATACACATTTTTTTTTTGTGCCGTAAATATAAACTTTCTCTGCTGTTAAATCTTTTTTAGTCTCAGAAAAGTGGAAAAAGAAAATCAGCTTTGACGTCAAGTGATGAGCACATCAAGAAATATTTTTATAAAAAAATCGATCAAGCTTGCTGTGAACTATTGAAGCAAGTTTTAGGAACGTAGAAAAGTGTCAAAGATGTTGATTGATTATTGTCAGCATGTTGAAAATTTAGCGTCTGTTGAAAAAATGTTTATTGCAAAGATAAATGGGAGGTGGGGACATTAACATGATTGCGGATTGAAAATGTTTTATGGATCAACAAGAATGTTTGTGTTTTTGGAAGTTCTGTTGTCAAAAATTAATTTAAAATACTTTCTTGGGGTCTCTTCTGTCTTAAACTATGTCACATCCTTTTCAGGGGGATTCTTACTGTTAAAAATTCTAGAATAACTTTATTGAGGAGGATCCATTCTTCAAACTTGTTAGAAAATTACATTCTTCGATCAAACTTAAAACAAAAAATGTAAAAGTTGAACTAAGATCAACTTTGATCGATGAGTTAAATTTTCCAACATGTTACCCCTCTCAGAAGATCCCAAGAGTTGAACTGACTCAATATACAACCCACCCGAATCACAACTTTGAAGTACTACCCCAAAAAACACTGTACATACCTCAAATGCATGCTGTAACTAATACAAAAACAACCAAAATCAATTTCAATTCTTTCCACAGCCATATCGATCAACACCATTAGTCTTGCCTGGCGCAAAAGTCTATCAAAATAAGAACTTGCCAACAGAAAGCTACTTGCGTCACCATCCGAATCCACAAATGCGTGCCAATTTGTCACAGGATTATGCATATGTTGATAACGCTATGAAGCAAAAGGTTGCTGACAGTGTATTGCAACGTGTCGTTGGTCCAGAAGAGGCAACTGTAAACGGTCAAAAGGTCTGGGATTTTTCTTTACGTTTTTTGTGTCGTTTTGTGATTCATTTTTTGCTGTCTTTCTGTTACTTTATTCTTCTTTGGATGTCAATGATTAAATTTTCAACTATTTTGTTTCATTGCTGCTTCTTTTAGGTTGTACACAAACAATTCAACTCACCAATCGGTCTTTATTCAGACAGCAATATTGAGAACACAATCAAGAGCACAATGTCTCCTCTTTCACCTATTGCACCAGCTTCAACTGGTTCTTCATCAGTTCCGTAAGTTGTTTAATGTTCAGTTTGTGGAACCTTTTTGATTCCGCTCGTCTGAGTTTGTGGATCATTTGGAATTTTGGTAGATAACTCTGAGTAGTACATCATGTCACTAGAAGTCGTTTATCTGCTATTGCCATGACCTGCTCGAAATTATATCTCAATCTTCCAATTGATCCATAAATTATGAGCCCAAAAATTAATCTTTTTGTTATCTTTCTTAATGATTGGCTTTTAATATTAATAGGAATGATCTTACTTCTTAAAAATTATAAACAGTGAATGAATGAATGTTAGGTTTAAATTAATAACGTCTAGATTCAAGTTCCCTTGATTTATTGATGATATGTATAAGATTTGTGGAAGTTTTACACTATAGATTTACAGAGAATCAGAGCATAAGCATAGCTTTGTACGCTAGTTTATTGCTACATACGTTAGAAATCAGCAGAGCTCTAAATCAACATGAGTTTTTGGTTAAAATCGATCAGGATTGAACAACTGAACGAATTGTCTAGTTCTAAGGACTAATTGTAACATCTAGATGCGAATTGTAATCCTTGGAACTAGAAATTAATCAGATAAATTGTTCTGTTGTTCTCTCAAGAATTTGACTAGATTCTAACATTCAAAATCTGATCTGATCTTAAGTTCTGAAAGCTAATCAACCATTGAACAATTTGTTAAGCTAGTTCGTAGATAATATCTGATCTTTTGTGAAATACTATAGTTTTTAAAAACTAGTTGATAGCTTTAAGTCTGGATTGGATCCTCTCAAACCATAATTCTAATTTCCACAAATCTTCATCGTCAACATTTTCTTAAGCAGACGTAATAATCAAAAACAATTTCTTTTAATTCTTCTCTTATTTTCTTCAACAAAAATAAAAATAAACAACTAACATCTTCAAATTAATTATTTCTGGGATGATATCAATCAATATGTAAATACGAACAAAAAAAAACTTCTAAAATTAGATCACCAAATCCAAATGGAACTATGAACCGCCAACAACTTCCAACAAAAATTCAAGGGTAATTGTTACATTCATAGACTATAAATTCCTTCTCATTACATGCCAAATTGCATTTCTCTCGAGTCCACAAATCATTAATGCATGATTTCAAGCAAAAAAAATGTCAAAAAGTACAGAAAAATTGCATTAATTAGTCAATGAATGGAAAGACTAATTGCAATAGTTAATTGGCTTTTTTTTCAATCATGCAGCTTCTTCATAAATCCTTGAAGTTTTTTTTTATATGTTGTTTCATGCTCTAAATGAGAAAGAGGTGCCATTTTTATTTGAGAATTAATTAGTAGATTTGCGGTTGAAAGGATTAATTTGGGGTTTAAATTTAAGCCTTAATCTAATTTTCAAAATTTTTTGTAATTTAGTTAAGTTAACTTTCATTGCATAAAGAGACTTAAAATCCTTCATCAATCAACAGTGTTTTCATTGACATGAGTTTTCTGGAGCAAAAGAAGAAAATTTTGGAGCAACAACAAGATATGCAGCGTCAGAAGCAGCAAACTAAATATACTGGATATTCTCCTTTCCCACAATTCAATCGACCTAATTGAAAACCTTCTCTCAGTCTATCCTTCATGTTAAATCCATTTAAAATATTGCTTTTTTTACTACTCACTATAATTAATTTAATTACTATGTTAATGTCCTAAATGACGGATTATTTTTATTATGTGTGAAAGTTTTGATTATCAAGATTGAAATTGAGGTGGAGATTTACTTGGATATATTGGAAGTGTGACTGGGAAGTACTCAGAAGTTATTAGATTTGAGTTATTTATGTTGTCGTAAATAGGAAAATGTCCGTGATCATCAAAACTTAGCTTTGAACTTTAGAAAAACATTGTGAAAATTGCTTTTGCAAGGTTTTTCTATTTCTGTGTCTTTAAAAAATCTTTAAATAAACAACAATTAGATTTTTAAACTTAAATTTTGGTTCTTAGAATCGAAGAACAATACTTAAAACCAAAGAGGAATCAGACATCACAAACATTTTAAATTCAGTTGTTAAAATAACCAACAAAGATTAGATCAGTGACAATTTGAACAAATATCAAGCTTGAAGCTAGATCTTTATAAACTAGTTTGAATTTAGATGACATTAAGATCAAACTCAATAAAATCCAAGTAAACCTCCCCCAAATCTATGTGTTCAGCCAGTTCCAATACTCATCAAAAAATATTCCTCACACCTACAACAAAATTACATCCTTAATATCCAACAAAAAAAAACTTTAAAATGTGACAGAAAATATTTTTGTTTTGTTGCAATTTTTTGTTTTGCTCCAGCCGACAGCCGAACAGCAAGCAGAAGGGACAGTCATAATTCTTACTAATCTAATCTCTCTCATGTGTTTTTGAATTTGATTCACAATAATTATTATTCACACACACACAGCTGCATCCATATAACAAATAATATTTTGTGTCATTTTCATGTTGCAAAAAAAAAAACAATTTGAGAAAAATAATTTAACGAAATTGAACGAAAAAAATTTCTTTTTTTCTTTTATATTTTTTTTTGATGTCCATCTACTTTTCCTTCCCGTGTCTGATTGTGTATATAAAAAAAAATTTGTATTTTTAATTGTCCACCCACGAACACACACAAAATAAAAAAAAATCCACCAAAAATATAAAATTAAAGCTATAAGAAAACGGTCGTCTATGATCCAATGAAGAGTGAAACATTCAAAGCACTTCAAGACAGCACTTTTGTCGATGGAAAAGTTCATGAAGTCGCTAGTCCAGCTCAACACAGAGTATTTATGCCCAATCGTGTAGTTCCAGGAAAGGTAAATATGAATCATGTCTAATTGGAACTAATTATTCATGTTGATTGAATTACTGGATGTTGAAAGTGCATTTTTCAGAGGGAGTAAGTCGATTGTTGTCTGTCTGTCCGACTTATTTTGAGGTTAAAGCTTTAAGTTTTCAAATTTCTTGTGATGAGTCGGTCACTTGGATGTTCTTCGAAATTTTGAGTTTTCAGACTTACTTGAACCCTCTTCAAGGGGAGAACAACATGATGGGAAAAACGTTGATTTTTAAAATCCTCAAAAAATGCGCTTTCAACATCCATACATAACCGAAATCGGTACTAATTCTATGTGCCTCTCTCAACATCAACAAAAAATGAACTTTGACAGAAGCCACCAGTCTCTTCTTTCCCACCACCTGATCCAATTTCAAGAATCCCAACAAATCAATTGGGTGAGGCAAATGACATCATTCACCAAAGTGGAAGCTTCAAGCGATTGATGTATCACGTTTTGGGCGAAAGTGATTACTAAGCAGTCAAACGGAAATCTAATTAAGCATTAACATCAATTCGACAAAAAAACAAGAAATTGGATATAAAACATAAATAAAATATGTTATAATGGAATGAAAAAACGATTTTATAACGATAATCAATTCTAATTGTTACTTAACTTAACTTTTCTTATTAGTTCCAAAAATGTTAATTTCTTATTATTATTATTATTTAAACGTTATTTGAAGCAACACATTGATTTGCTGATGAGTGAAGTCTCTAGTCACATAAACACACACAAAGAGTTTATTAATAAATGTTAAAGTCTGTCTCACAACCTCCTTACAGTCGAGGTGGGAGACGCGAAACTTTTCTTTTCTTAAATTTAAAATTTTATTCTGAGAGGAAATATTGTTGAGATAATTAAGCTTTATCGAACCTATTCTGTATCAATCATTGTAAATAAATGAATAATAATTTTGAGGAAAAGCAAGCAAGTAAATAAATAAAATGTTAATTCAGACAATTTTAATGTTTTTGGGATTGTTGTGGATTAGTTCTGTAGATTTAATTGAAGGTAAGTAGATTGTGGTTCCTTTTCAGATTCTGGTTTGTATCTATGGAATTATTAAGAGATCAATCAATAATGAAACCATTCTCATATCCTCACAAAAGAAAGGTTCACTGATCTCTGGAATTTGTCTAAGGGTGCGGAACTAATGAAAGGATCAAAAAGTAATTGACTTTCACTCAGCTTTGCCGATTATCCAATTTCAAGGCCATAGAACTCCCTGCACTATGTCTGCAATCACTACTTTTTTACTCAACTTTACAAATTTTTACTTATGTTTCAGTACACTTACTATACAATGTATCACAATCACTGCAATTACTAAACTTTACTGCACTTAACTCCTTTTTACTACTTTTTACTATACTAAAGTACACTAACCTATACTTTACTACACTTTACTTTACTTTTCTATACTTTAGTATACTTTACCACACTAAGCTTAAATTTACCACACTTTAGTGCACTTTACTTCTACTTTTCTTTACTTTATTTTTAATCAAATTAATTAGTGCATAATTTCAATCTAAATAGTTAAAGGTCTTTTAAACATGTGGTCCATTAATACGTTATACTCATACTTTCAAAAAAAAAATAAAAGATTTTGCAATCATTTTAAAAATTTAAAAGAAAATGTTTAAAAACTTAACAAAAGGTTATAGAATTTAAAATATTATTTTTTTATTATTCTATCATTTTAAACCAAATTTAGCTGATGGAAAAGAAAGAGCTTACAAAAACATAAAGCAAATGCTGCTAAGGCAGAAATAATTTCATTCATGCCAAAGAAATTTCTAATTAATACCTCAAGTTTGTAAGGAAATTTGTCAAAAAAAAAAATAAAAGAAAAGTGGAGAAAAATTGAAAAATTAAAAAAAAAAAACCTAAAATGTACTTTTGATTTTAAAGATGAGTATTTTTAATTGAAAACTTTATTTTAAAATTCAGAAGAAATGTTTTTTAATAATTATTAAAAAATTATAAATCGAATTTGACTTTTTCTTGAAACCTTACATTAAAAAAACTAATAAGGACAATTTGTATTAAGTTTAAATTTTTAAAAAAGCTATAAAAACAAGCTTGATATAAATTAGTTTCAATTTATTGGCATTTCAAAATTGAATGAAGGGAAAAGGAATATTTTAAATTTATTTTATAATTTGCTAGTTATTTCAACAAGATTAACTTTCCAACAAACTTTTAAAAAATAAATATCAAAAGTGTTGATGACATTTAATTTTCTAAAACCAACAATATCAAAAACATTGATTCTCACACTCATAGAAAAAATATTAGAATTTTATATAGTTTTGGAAAAAAACCAAATATCGAATATTTGAAATTTCATACAAATCGGAAATATTTGAATATTTGATTTTCCTCAAAACCATACAATTATTTCTATGAGTGCACTTTTCTTTCGCTACTGTTCTTCGAAATTTGGAAAACATCCTTAATGTTGAAATTTTTGAATTTAGTTTAACAGTGTTATTTTTTTTATATAAGAAAAGATTCATTTTATCTTTGTTAATATTTTCTCAAGACTTAAAAGAATTTTAATGCATGAAATTTCAAATAATAAGCGGTTCTTAAGTTGCGATAATATTGACTATTTATAAATAAATGGTATGGTATGCATTATTTCAAAATTATTGCACATCAACTTTAAACATTTTGGTTTTTAAAGTTTTAAACAGTTTTAGGATGCTGCACTTTCTATACTTTTACTACACTTGCTATACTGACTATACTTTTACAACATTTTACTATACCTAAACTACACTTGCTACTCTTTTGCTACATTCTACTATACCCGAACATACAAAGAGCATGCTCAAAAGAGTGAGCATATAAGTAAGTCTACTCAAAAATTATACTCATGCAAGCTCATTCAACTGAGCATGCTCAGGAGTTCATTACGAATGTACTCACTTTATTTTTATACAAAAAAATTATAAGCTCACGTGAGTACATTCAACGAGTGTACTCATGAGAATATTAAGAACATACTCGTGGGTATTTACTCTTCTGAATACACTTCTTTAACATACTCATGAGCATATAATTAACATAATTATATCTATATGACATTTTCAAAAACGTCGACCAACTTAAAATCAAACTTAGAATACATTTTTATGTAAGTCGACATTTTAAAAAATGTCGACCAACTTAAAATCAAACTTAGAATACATTTTTATGTAAGCCGACATTTTCAAAAATGTCGACCAACTTAAAATCGAACTTAGAATATATTTTAATGATAGTCGACATTTTTAAAATGTTATTTTTAAAAAATTGTCAACCAACTTAAAAGCAAATGTTGAATATTTTAGATATGTAATACAAAAATGTACGAAAATTTTTACAATTTTAAGTTTTCTGAAATAAATGTCAAGGAATTAAATTGAAAATTACTTTGCTTTTAAAAAACTATAACAATTAAGCACGATCAAAATCTTTTGGCTTTAATGGAACTAATATTTGAATTCGTAAAATATTTTCAAAAAATGTCGACCTGCATAAAAACGTATTCTAAGTTTAATTTTAAGTTGGTCGACATTTTTCAAAAAATGTCGACTTGCATAAAAATGTATTCTTTGTTCGATTTTAAGCTGGTCGACATTTTTGAAAATGTCGACTTACATATAAATGTGTTCTAAGTTTAATTTTAAGTTGGTCGACATTTTTAATAATATGTTCTCACGATCGTGCTCTGATCAACTCAAATATTTCATAAAAATAAATTTCAATTAAGCAGCGTATCAAACTTCAAAGAACTAAGTTTGCCTGTAATAACATAATAATTTAAGTATGTGTTTTGCCATATAAAAATTATTATATATTTAGAGAAAATTGCTCCAAGGAAATGTGTGAGGTGACAGAAGTTAAGCAACGCAATAGGTTTTTCTACAAGGATGGGTGACCGGTTTTTAAAACTTCCTTCTTAAGTATTTGAGATAAAATGTTAATAATAATTTCTAACTCTTCCAAAATTATTCACAGAATTGTCCTGATAAAACTCAAATTTAGGTTAATTAATTTTTTGAATTTTGTGACTTTAACTAATTGCACTCATGCATGTGCTCAGATGAGCATATACTCATAAATAAACTCACTGAGCATATATCTTTTGAGTATCTTCATGAGTATAAGCTCTTTGAGTTTGTTTATGAGTATATGCCCTTTGAGAATGTTCATAAGCATATTCAATAAAAAATGTTGCATTAAAAAAATGTTGCGTGTGGCATGTTGCCTTCTCATTTGAGTATGCTCATGAGTTTACTCAGTGAGCTTAATGCATGTCACATAGGAATGTGCTCACTGAGCATACTCAAAAAGGTACCGTGATCGCATCACTTTAATGTATGAAATGAGCACATTCTCACAAAAGTTTGCAAGCTCACAAATAATGTGCTCTGAGTATACTCATTGTATGTTCGGGATACTTTGGTTTACTTTGCTTCACTTTACAATATTTAACTACACTTTGCTCATATTAACTTAATTTTACTCAATAGTTTGTATACGTTACTGCACAATGCTCACTCACGGCTATACTATTTTGGGAGTTCTATGGCCTTGTCCAACTTATTGTTCAAAATTTCAGAACAGTGAATTCTACACTTTGTGTAGCGAGATTTTTCCAGAATCTTCAAAATAGACCATTCTTATTATTCATTATTCACTTAAAACATTGATTGCCTTTATAATAATGAAGGATACAAACCTGTTCAACCAAAGTCGCGACAGCTTTAGGTATTCTTTCCAATTATCAGGTATCAAAAGAATCGACCAGTTCCTTTAAAAACAAGAATTTTTTTCTTTCTAAAGTGATTTCTTATTGAACGAGGAACCAAAAAAATATTATGGATGTTATTGAGCCGACTGAGTTTACTACCAATCCATTTCCTTGATTTTCTTTGTTGTGACAGTTTTAAGATTAAAATTCTTTATTTCTGGTCTAGATTTGACCAAATTTTAAAAAGCAATCGTTTCAAACTTCCTTATAATCAGTTTTCTGTAATTGCGACTATTTTTACCGAAGGTTTAATTGCAACTTAAAATTAAACTAATTTTATAACATTTAAATGCAAACTGAGATGATTTTTTTTTGATATTTCATTAAACATAATTAATGCAATTGATAAATGCCTAAAATCGTAAATCATGATGAACTGAAGGATGAGTAAGTTTAGTTCCAACATTTCAAAAATGAAGCTATTACAACACTCGAAAATGATTAATTCTTCATTTGTGGCAACATTCAGTTATGTTTAACCATTCTCAGCCAAGGTTCTAGTTCCTCTAAGCATAAGACAATACAATTGGACATTTAGCAAGCAGTTCTAGCAGCACAAATACATTAAAACTGTAAGTTTCAACCATTAAAATTGATTTATAGCTTCACAAAACCCACAGCAATACTGCAAAAATAAATTATTAAAAGCCACAAGATTTGTTTCTGGTCTGTTTGTTCTTGAAATTTTTGAATATACTTTTCCTTTATTAAATAAAATGAAATAATGTTTCAAAATATAAAAAAAATTGCTAATCAATTACAATCTCTTTTCCATACTTTTTAAATTCAATAATTTATTACTTTCAAAAAATAATAATTGTCAAAAAAAGCCACAAAGAAAGTCATTCTTGCTTCAAAATTAGTTTCTGCTCATTTTAATATGATTAATTAATTTATTTGAGAACAAAAAAGTCAAATGGAACTAGTTTTTGTACAGGCATAGATGTTAATGAGCTTGCAAACTCTCCTTAAACAACAAAGAACTAGATCTGTGCATATCAAGCTCAGATCTTGATCTTTGTCATTTTGCCTGACCCTTAGAGACAACATTTAACTTGATATCCACAACTATAAGAAGACTGAACCTTTTTTTCATGGAAAATTCCTCTAATCTTCAATTATGTTGCTTTAAAATTAATAAATTATGTGCATTTTTCCTAAATTATCAAGTCGAAAATGTCACATAAAGTTAAGATTCCATTAAATACGATTTATAATATATTTTTTTAAATTAAGAGGAATTAGTGATTAAAAATTATCGTAACTTCCATTTGCAAAATACGTAAATTGTTTGACTTTATTAAATCATTTAGTCCAGGATTTAAATCTTTTTTTTTTGTTTTGAGTGTAGAACTTTTCAATTTTCTTTCAAAATTAAATAATAAACGATTTTAAAATCTTGTTGGTTGTTGGCTGGCTAGTTTTTGTGTTTGTAGATTATTAGTTTTTGTTGTAGATGCTTTTATTTTACAAATGTAGTTGTTTGTTGCATTTTATTCATCTTCTTCAGATCCGCTTTCTAGAATAGTCAAGAACAGACAATAGACGATTAGAGAAATGTTTGTAATAAAGTATAAGGTATAAGTTCACTGGTGACGTCATTAGAATTCTTGAAAATTAACGACCATTTGAATTTTTTGAAAACCGTTGAAATTAAAATCTCCAAAATTCGTTAATTCCTTTAAAAATAACCAAACGTCATTAATGACCAATTATTAATTGATTTTGTATGAAATTTTGCTGTTCTAAAAGCTCAATTCAATTCAGAGCATCAAGATCACGAAATGTAATTCCATTAACAAGTAATCTTACATCTTTTCCACACAAATTCAGTCAGGTGAATTTCTTCGTAACTGATTTTGCTCTAGAAGATGTACTTAAATAATTTATACACAAGTTTCTGTGACTTACCTTCTTCAGCACTTTGAAGCCATTCTACAAATGGACGCATCTTCTCCAAAAAGTGCATCTTTCCTTTCGGCGAGTGAGCTTCACGATACCATTTCAAAATCGAATCTTCAGAAATGATTTCCAATTTGTAGAAAAGTACAATAATTTTGTAGAATGAATTCATAAAATTCATATTTTCGTAGCAATATTCTTGAATTTTCAAGATCAACGCCAATTCTGATCGATCGGTTGTGGTGAATGCTGAGAAGAATTGATTATTCATTTTGAGATGACGTAACGCTTGATCGGCAACCAATTCCTCTTTCTTGTTCCACTCTCCCAACGACATAATTGTTGTCCAGATTATTACAATAACTTCTTGTTCTGGAATGGAATTTTTGACAGATAACTCTTTTATATCAGCAATGATTTCCTTTTGCGGTTTGTTATCCTTAATATCATCGATAATCACCTGTAGTTGGGGAAATTAAGCATTAGTTCGATTGTTAAAGTAATTGATATTATTAATGTCTAGTATTTTCTGTCACATAAAACTGTCACTTTTTATGGAAAGTTAATTAACCTGTTAGATTAATTCAAAATGATGTCAACAAAAGCATTTTGATCTAGCAATTAATGGAGTCCACATGAAGAATTGAAAATCTCACACATGGATTTGTCTTAGGTGCTATTCATAATCTGCATTTAAGTTTCCATGATTTTATTTGAATTAATATTGAGCTTAGGAAATAAATCCCACGATTTAACTTTAACCCAAGGATTAAAATGTTCGGATTAGCATATAGTAAAATTGTTCGAATTAAACTCTAATCCAAGGATTAAAATGTTAAATCCAGAACAATTTAAAATGTTTCTTGATCGCGTGTTGCAACAAACATGGGATAGGCTTGCACAACATAGCTAGATTCAAGAAGTATATTTACTCTTACAGCTAACAATAAATTGGCTAAATAGTTTTCATTATCTTCAGTCAATTGAACTTAAACACTGTAATTAACGGTTTTTAACCGCTAGGATTAGCTAGTTCCATAATAAAGCTAAATCCTAGGATTAAAATGTTTGAAGAGAAAATAACAATAACACAAATAGACATAGTGAAATCGTTAGTACTCTCTCATAGAACATAATATCCCCAGACAAATAAAGCTAGCACAAATTCCATCAGAATGACGAATTTCTACTGAAACACGCTGGGTAGATAGCTTATCTCGAGAACTAGATAATTTCCACGAAATTCTGATTCATTCAGTAATCTACAATTTTCCATAATATTCAAGGCTAGATTACTGAAGCTTTAAAATCATAATTAAGTGTCTGAACAGATTATAACATCAACACGAATGCGCTCACAAGCTGAAGATGCTTACGCCTGTCAAATGATTTTCCCAGTTCTTTCAACTCGCGACAAATTCCAAAACTAGAACATCCACATAGGAACTGGGTCAAAAATCATAAAAACCGATCAAAAATTGCCGGAAATTATCTAAAATTTAAGTCTGTTTTAAACTTTATTGACATCAAACCACATAGAAACTCGTGAAAGTGATGTAAGCAAAAATCTAAATTTAATCTGGCATCATTTTAAATATAAAATTTTTCCTTGGTTTTAAACTTTATCGAAGAAAAATTTCCAAGGTGTCGGCTGATGCAAAACAAGTCAAATAATAATCCATAATAAATAATAATTTTACATATGACAGAGAAATGGGGAATGTCTTAATTTTATTTCATTTGTATGTCAATTGATGTTGTCATCCAAATAGATCAAAAACCAAAGTTTATTATAGCACGGTTTCAAAGGCTCTAAATTAGTATTAAAATGCATTTAGAGGTTCTGCCCTGTGCCAATAGGGTAAAGCGCAATTTCTCAAACAGAACAATAATTTACTTTATGAATTAATTTAAGAGAAGTTTGAAAACTAAAGTTACGGTTTAAAGAAATTCAAAAATTTAACGGCTATAAGATATTTAAAATTCTGTTTGAAAAAGTTCGCCAAAAAATTTAAAAACGTTAACTCACCGATTGCATTTCTCGCTTATATTCCTGACTCGCCTGCGCCTTATGAAGTTTCACGATATCCCCGAGACCACGTTCTGTAAATGTCTTGTTAAAGTTCTCATCCGTACGTTTATTCAATGGGAAAAAGTCCATAAGACGATGTTCCATTTGCCCCTTTTTGAGAGCTGTTATCAACGCTGGAACACCTTTTTCTTGCTTTAATGTGACAAATAATTCTACGAGAAAGTCCAACGCGATACTATCTTTGATCAAATGCTCATTGTACAAGACACCGAGGACTGTCGGTGGAACAGCTGAATTCGCGATCCATAAAGCAGTCATACGAGCCAACTTAACGCGTTCAATGGGTTGAAATCCCCTTATGAATACCAATACCTTTTTCATTTCATCTTCAAACATCTTTTCTAAGTATTTGTATCGTCGTACCAATTTATTAAGGACCTGGAAAGGTTTACATAATTAATAAATATTTTCAATCTTGTCGATGAGATCATAAGTGACTTTATATTTGCCTTTAAAATTATACTTTGGTCAAGTAAACATTTGGCAACAAAGAGGAACAGATAAGCTGTGTCACTTAGACTCAAAAATTATGTTTGTAGGAATCAAAGAAAAATTAAAAATCTATTTCAATTGAAAATCGATACTTAATTCAAGCATATTGATTACGAATCATTAATATTGCACACATTTGACACCATTCGTATGAATGACTAATACAACTGGCTCTATAAAGGTGCGAATGGTTTTAAATTCTTGAGGTTAAATCTGACGATTTAAAAATTAATCCGAGGCTTAACCTCAACCAAAAATGACTCAAACTTACTTGTTCTTGTTCACGCATGCTGTCCATATCCTCGGATGCATTGAAAATGCACGCAGTTGTGTACGGCTTTTCGCCATCTTGAGAGATTGAACCACCAGGAACTAGGAGACCACCAGCAATTAATATATCAAATAATACTTCACCGTAGCGACGATAATCCAATTTATTTCCAGCAGTGTCCAAAAATTTAGAGATTTGTTCTAAGTCTTCAGCTTTTTCGAGTCCTGCAATGACCGCGTCACGGAAAGCCGTTGGGTCATACTTCTCCTTTTCATCCCTTTTCCTGGTTTTTATGCGTTGACCTTGTAGTACTGGTCTTTCTGCCTTTTGACTCATACAATAAATTACTGTAAATATACCAAAAGTTTGTAGACGTCAGCAATTGATTCATGTGAATTTTTCAGGTATTAAAAATAAATCATCGCGTCACGAAACTATTTTTTCAAACTTAATATAGGAGCACTGTGTTGGATATACTTTCACCTTATTTACAGACTTCAGAGAGAAAATGTGCGACTCTTCTTCTTATTCTCGTACTTAACGTGAATTTTGATTATAAATGACAATTGAAAGGCAACAGAGATTAATAAAAGTTTATAGATCACAAGTCACATCAACTTTAAGAGACTAACGGGATGAAATAATGGCTTTTTAAAAGAGAACTAGGTCATGTAAGCTATGCTACGTATAAGTTGCAATAACGGAACCAATAGAATAGCATACAAAGATGCAGAATTCAATAGAATTATCTCAAGATTGAAAATTCATCTCATCTCTAGACCACAAAATGCTTATGTCCGTGTCTTCTTCTTGCCTTTTTATCAATTATGTGGTTATGAAATAGAGTATGTGACAAACAAGATTAAGGCATGCCTTATAAGAAAGCGTCGACACGTTTTCTGGGAATTTTACGTTAATTAAGTGTCTGTGCTTATTATCCAGTTAGACAATGGATAGAAATGCACGTAATTAAGCTACAGACGAAGAATTTTCAATGTCAAAGAACTCAGGTCATTAACCAACAAAAGTACTTCCAACGCCTTCCTTTATACTCAAATTTACATGCTCTTTTATAGTTTATGAATAAATTATAGGAAAATGTGTCGAAAGCAATGAATTAATGTCTCTTAATTAAGGTTATAATTAGTAAAATAATATTAATTTAATAAAAAATGATAATCTTACAATTAAACTTCGTGGACAGTCGTTTGATGAATTAAAACAATATATGAATAAGCTAAGCTTAATTAAAGGAATCACTTAATAACTTAGAATTTGACTTTTTTAAAACGTGTTTTATTTCTCAACAAAAAAGAAAAATGGCGATACTAAAATGAAATGAAAATAAATTTTACAAAATGACTTGATTTCACAGCTAATTTGATTATTAATTCTTTAAAACACTTATGAATGCTTCAAATGCAACACTTTAATTAAGCTAATATCCTTTAAATACCTTGGAATTTGAGTGACTTTCTATGGACTGTGGAACTGAATGAATGAACTTTTTCTTGTGTAGCTTAATGCCCCACCTTGAACGAGGGCATTCGACTTTGTTTTTTTTGAATTTTTTTCAACCGTTATTTTTTACTATACTATGGTTATTTCTAGCTATGTTTTAATAAACTTATTAAGCTATTCCAGACTTATCAACAACGAGAAATTATATTTTATGACAAAAAGAATGTTTGATTTTATTAATAAGAGACATAAAATGTAGTTGATGGATACAAATATGAGAATATAAGTAAACATGTTTGGATTAAATGTAATTAAATTAAGTGATTCTGTCTGGAACGAAAGTAAGCTTTATTGTTGAGATAAATGAAGCATTTTAATTTACTGATCCATCGGTTCTTCTGTTTCGTCCGTATCCATTAAAACATTTTCACCTTCATTATCGTCTGTATCCATTTTGTTGGCTGTTTGTGCCATTTCCATTTCGGGAATCTCTTGTTGAATCTGTGGGATTTGTGCTGGACTTATGTCATCTTCCATATTATTCTCAGTATTGATTGGGACTGCTTCCATTTCACCTTCAACGGCTGCTGGAACTAATGGCTTTTCTATGATGACTGTTGGTTCCACAATAACAGGACTTGGAATTGATTCTGGCTCTTTTGTTTCAATTATTGGCTCTGCTGCAACTGGAATATCCTCAATTTCCTTAACTTCAACGACTGGCTCAATTACTGTGATTGGCTCGTCAATAGCTGGAATTTCTGTACTTTCAGGAACTAATTCCACTGCTTTTAATTCAAGCTGAACCTCCGCAGGCTCTTTAATGACTTCAGCACTTTCATCAACAGTTACAGCAGCTATTTTTGGTTCCTCAGCTATATTCGTTGCTTCCGATACCTTTTCAATTGATTCAATCCTTATTCTTTTAGCTTCAATGCCTGAATCATCATCTGTTGGCATGCTTTCAATTTCAGGAACATTCTCAGCCTTTTGTTCTGGTTCTGTAACTTCCTTTTCGACTTCTTTTGGTGTCACTTCAATGTCATTAATTTTAGGCTCAACAACATCCTGTTTTGGTAAGATTTGTTCCTCAATACGAGGCGTAACTTCCACGACAACCTCGACTCGATTAGCTACAATATTTTCGAGAGCTGCCAATGGCGTTGTTTCGGGATTTTCAGGCAAAATTTCATCGTCCGCAGGACGAAGAGGCTCATTAAGGAGTGCATCGTCAATTTTAGGCTCAACAGATTCAGTCAAAAGTGTTATTGGCTCATGCTGTATGTCAGTTTTAATGACAGACTCTTCTGCCTTTTGAATTGTCTCAACTTGAGCTTTCTCGTCAGTTTTAATAACTGTTGGTTCCTCAATTACTGATTTAGGTTCTTCTGATGGTTCACAGACAGTGATTGTGACTGTCGATGAATTCTCAATTGTAATATCTGTCTGTGTCGGTTCCAATGCTTCACCATTTGACGGTGCGATTGTTGATGTCGACGCTTCTTCCTCTTTGGACGCAACTTTCTTAATTGTTATCGTTTCCTGTGATTCTGTTGTAATGTCATGACTTGGTTCCTTACGAATTGTCGTCGCATTAAATTCTTTCGTCATTGTAAATGATCCATCATTTTCCATATCAATGTCTACATTTACGTCCGATGAGAAATCTCCATTTAGTCCAACGGAATCGAGTGAATCACCATTTTCACTTTCTTCGCTTCTATTACGTCCTGGCGAGACTGTACTCACAACTAGAATATTCTTCTCAACGGCACGCATAAATTTATCAATTCTTGAATACTGTTTACGTGGATCTGCTAATAATTCACTAATACGTTGAATCGTGAATGGTGCTGCACTAAATGAATCCAGTCTTTCTATCAACATCTTCTTCATAGTCTCGTAATTAAAAGGATCAACATTCGGGTATTGTGGGAGCTCTACAAACAGCAAAACTTAATTAAATGATATCTACTGGATGTTACTTATAGTACCTTTAGTTGGTGTCTCATTATAGAAGTCAGTGATGACATTTATAAGCTTCTCGCGGTACAATTTCTTGACAAGGGCCCAGTTAAAGACCTGAAAAAGCCAGTTTTAGGAATCAATACTGGATCTTTGAAATATTTTATTAATTATATCATTACTTACCGATTCACCAGTTCTAGCCACAAAAGATACATATTCATCGAGTTCTCGCGTAATTTCCGGGTTCTTTTGGACATTAAATCTCTCTAATTTCTCTAAAATCTCTTCTGGTTGATCCATTTTTGTTAAATTTCTTAAAAAATTGTGAAAAACTTATTAAATATTGTTAATTGTTTTGATTCTGTGAATCCTTCGGTTTTGTATCTATGTTATGTTCCTAGTTATTAACAATTTAAGTATCTAAATCCCGTCAATTTGAAGAAAATCAAGTAATTTTAAATGTTTTTAATGGGAGATGTTCAAAAATAATTTAAATACTTTTACTGAACACACCATCATTAAAGCTTCTAAAATGAGAAATATTAAGGATGTGCAGCAAGTGCTTTAATCAATTATTTTCCCAAAACACCTAGATATCAATTGCATATGCAATAATGACTTTGTGCCTTGCTAGCTGACAGAACTTCTTTTTGAGGGTAGCAAACGAAAACCGTTGAAATTTTTGAAATATTATAACACGTGGTTAACGGTTTTTGATTGCTGCGAAAACTTAATGTTCAAAATGAGAATAAAATTTAATTGAGAGGATTTTGGGCATTAATATCGATTGATAGGGTTGGATTAGACAGAAAAAGTGTAGGAAATGAGGTATAATAATATATAACGAGATCAATTGGAAATTTATAAATTATAATATTTTAATAGCCATTAATATAATTTTGGATGCATTCTATGCAAAATCATATCACGTAACTCAACCACAAGCTCCGTAATAAAAATTCTAAATCACCTTAAACAATAATAATAACAATTTCCATTATTTCAACCAACTCATTTGTTTAATATTTATCCAGAAAACTACAAAAGCACCACAAAACTGGATTAAAAGAAGACGACACAGCAGTCCAATCAGTTTATTTATAGCACACAATTTATATGCGCGATCACATAATTTCACTTTCATTTCAGTTCATTGCAACATAATGATTGCCATGTACAATCGGTCTGACTGAGGCCCTTTTTTCCCAATTTGTGTAAAATAAAGATTTTATTACCAGCATTAATGGACTTAAAGAGCTGAGCATATACATATCGATTTGGATGATTCTGTGCTTTTCATTTATTTACTTATTTATTTTTATTGCAATGCGAATGAAGAAGAAAAGCGACAAAAAATCGACGACGTGATACGATGAAAATTATACACACATATTGTAGTTTATTTGTAGCTTAATGCATCCATTTGTGCTTGCTTACCGCAGGAACAATTCAAAACACTCTACTGGGATCGTTTATAAATGATGTCTATTAAAAAATTGGATTTCCCTGCCATTCAGCTTTTTTAAAAACAAATTATCGCGAAATCTCAGACACTCAAAATGAGGGGGGGGGGGGGTTAAAACATTTAATATTTTAAAAGGGATCCTGAAGTTTTTCTAATACAGTTTGCAATCTAGAGAGGGCAAATAGAGGAATATATGGCCAAACATGAGCTTATTGAACAATTGGTATAACAAGCGATTATAGTTTGGGTTCACACTCCTCTCATTGACCCCCCCCCTCAATCGCTTGACGGAAAAACATATTCCATGAAAAAAAATCTCAAAACCCCCAAAATAATGTTTGTGTCTAACATCCTTGGTTTCTTCTCTATCCTGAACTTTTCTCTGGCCATGCGCAACATTTAAAATTATTGACATCATTATTGAATGACCCCCAACATCCAGATTTTCATCATTATTTGTACAAAGCCGCTGAGCGATGCCGAAAAAAAAACTTAAATTAAGAAATTACACAATCGACGATAAAAATGCTTTCGCTATGGATATCATGTGCATGTGTCTATCAAAATGTTTTGACGTGAATCAATTACGGCTGAAAATTGAATAATCAAATGCGCCCTTTCCCTTTCGATTTTATATATTTTATATTATTTAAAGACCTATAATATTAAATAAATTTTTGGATGGAAAATGAGAGTGAATAGTGGCAGACATACGGCGACGACGATCGACGTTCTTAACTTGATATGGCTATTACATAATTGAATTTAATTTTTTTTTTCTTTCGTTTTATTGACCTCTGTTCTTGTAGTTCAATGCATGTTTACTTCCATTGTTTTCGTATAGGCTATACAAAATGTTCGCGCGATTCCTATCAATTAAAATGACCAAATAGTGCAAAGGAGACAGCAAAATAATATAAATTTATAAAGTGTCATGTTTCGTTTCATTCAATTCTCGCTGACAATAGAGGTATGTTAAGAGCCAGGAGAAGTCCATGCCAGTTTTGGGGGGACAATAATATCGGAGTCATTTAATCGTAAATTAACAATTCAATGCATTCAATGGCTGGCTTATGGCATTTTCATTCCATGTTGTTTTGTTTTCTTCAGCTCATTTTCCAGCTCTAGGTTTTTTTTTTGTGAAGCTGTTGATTTTGTTCACGATTTGTCTGTTTACTAGCTCTAGACTTTTCTAGCTTGGAATGCTGATTTTTATTGTTCAGTCTTTTAGTACTTTTATGGCTGGCAGTGGACACCCAAGATTCATACTTAGAACTTACAGGGATATTTTAAAAGGATATCAAGATATGATCTTTACTGCTTATGTTTAGACTTTAGAAGTTCCTCTTTGCTAAGATCTGCACAGTTTTATGGCTTAATAACCATAAATTCAATTAGCAAGTGCTTTGAATGCTCATAAACTGCCGCAAATATATTGAACTAATTCAAAGATACCTAAAAACAGACCTTAGAACTTCCAGTTTAAAGTTGAAGCTATGCTAACCAGGTAAATCTTCTGACTTTTGGTTCATATTGAAGTTTGAATGCAGGTAGAGACAATTTGTAGTAATCGCGCCAAAATTATAGATTTGTTGAAGATCTTATGTTCCTGATAGTTCTCTTTTGTGGATCAGGTCAATGTTTAGGTAAAAAAACTCTATGATTTCATAATTATGAGCATCAAATAAACGAACTGCGCTCTAAATGCATCATTGACCAATAAACATCTTCCCATACTCATTATTCTCAACTTAACCAACATAATCATAAGGTGATCAAGATCTCTTTAAGCTTTCTTACCTTAACATAAAATATTTAATGTAATTCAATTTTTTTTCACTCTCCATTCTGCGTCGTTTGTTGTAAAAAAAGCAATTATATTGAATGTGAAAATTGTTTATAGTTATTGGTTGCTCAAAAGGGAGAAAGATAAATTCAATAACAAGCATAGCTTTCAGATTTTTCAAGTATAGCCAATATGTTTCGCTGTCGTTAGAATGCAAATTTGCACATTTCACACTTTACACCTTTATTTTCCTTTCTTCACATCCACTCCGCTCTCTTTTGTGTCTTTTTATTTCATTTACAGCCCAACCAACCAACCACATCGATGACAAATTTATGTATTGATACGAACCCGTTTGTCTCCGGCAATTTTCTTTTAATCTCAATTCAATTGGCAAACAACAAATTGCATGGCCAAATTGTGATCTGAATGTTTAATCGCCAGCACGGTATGAAGTCATGGGCTCTCTTGGTGCCACACACATGCTGCATGTGAAATTTAATTTTTCTTTCGAAGTGAGATTTTTCACAAGAATCACTTCAATTTGCATTTCGCGAATCGGTCTTATTGTCATGCGGTGAACAATTCAAGGTATGAAGATGTGTGTGACGAGGAATGAGACAGTAAAGCACGTGTGATTGATTAAAGCGCATTTTTTGATTTTTACCTTAACTATTGAAAAGAATGGGGTAGTTCATCAATGATGTCTAGTTTTATGATGCAGGAGTGGGATCTGAGTCTGCGGGACTATACAACAGAAATATTGTAGATGGTAATTTTGTCTCAGATCAAATCTAGTTTTTATTTGACGTCATTTATGAATATCCCATTTGAATTATTCCTCGTACCAGCTCTAATCATCTACTTCTCTGGCTAATGTTTCAGTTGATCTCATCAAAGAACCAAAGAGCAACTTAAAACATCCTTTTAGACACATGATAGCCAGCTCGACAGACAGACAAATCTATAAACAACAGCACCTTTCCACTCTAAAAAACTCCACCAAAAAGGCATGGACATGCATAAAAGGCCCTTGAGTGAAATTTTCACGTTCACTCTCATCGAGATTGATCCATTGAGACTTGTTGCTTCTCACAAAAAAATCCCATGAGAGATGCAAGGCTGCATTATGAGCCAATAAAAAGGCAAGCAAGTTCAATTGCATTGAAAGTGAAACTCTCATTTTTTTCCGATCCATTGAACGCAAAAAAACAGAATTGAAGATTTTTGATAAGTCACGATGGGGAATTCAATATGGAAATTTCCTTTCTTGGACATTGCTATGTATTGCGGCCTACGAATGTCGATGAACGATTTTTCCTGGAAAAAAGAATAGAAATGAAAGAGAAATTTATGGATATGAAGAATATTTTTTTTCATCTATGCACGAAATTCAATAATCGATTATTGTGTTTAGAGGTTTGAGTTGTTGAAAGCAGGGTTGGGGATTTAAATGGTTGGATGGATGTCTGGAGCAGTTGTGGAGTCTGGGGAATCGAGCCATATACCAAATTTGTCAGTGGAAGAGATATGTCTCTGTGACCTAGTTGTTAAGCAGCATACCGAATATTTAACCCTATTTTGTGAGGGCACGGGTTCAATTCCTACCATGACTTCGTCCCAATAATCCAGACTTTAACATACATTCCAGAATATTCTTAATTGTCCTCATCATGCCTGAAGTCCACAACTTAAACTCCAAACAATTGCTGATAAATCCACACCAACTCTGCAGTCAACAATTCCAGATAAATCAACATATTCTCTAATAATCAGCCCATGTGATGCCCGAGACCAAAGCAATTCATTAAAAACGCCTATTTTATGTTAACAGCTTTTTAGAATTTATCTCAAAATTATTATCTAAATGGAAATAAACTTTAATGCTAAGCCATTGTTATCTGGCACTTGCAGTATTGGCTCACATTAGCAGTGTACTTTATTTAAGGAGTGCAATTATCTTATGGAATTCCTTCACATATGAATCAAGCATTTATTTTATTCTCCTCAATATTATCCATATGTGTATCTACTTGGCATGAATACTTTTCGACTATATGTAGATATACGGAAATCGATGCTATGCCATAGAAAAAAATTACCAATTTATTTATTTATTTTTTCCTGTGCCTGTGTGATCAGTGGGTCAAGAATTTCAATTCCTATTGGCAAGTCATGAGAAAATAGAAACTTTACTCATTTTTTTTTATGAATGAAAATTTGATTTTTGAACATGTTGCA